TAAGGCAGTCATCTGTATATACGAAACGTACATTTTCGGAGTGAACTGGATCGAATCTCGTTGGTTTAAATCCAGTTTATTCCCAAACTCTCTCCCTAGAACTGATTCGACTCGATTTTTGTGTTCGTTCTGCCGCCACTTGACTTTTGTGTTGTGTTTGATCTCTCTGCCATTTTTTATTTCGCCGAATGAACTAACTTCTCGCCACTTTCTTTCCGTTACTTATCAATCAAAGCAAAAGCACAGCCTCAACAATAACCACATCTATAATAACCACACAAAACAGCTTTTTATTCCTTTCCGTTGCTTTCTGTTGTAACAAAAAAAAAAAAAAAAAAAATATATATATATCGCAAAGCCAATACTCACAAACAAAAATACATAAACAAACAGAAATCCACAAGTGAAATTGCTCCTTATATGAAATCTATATATAAAACGTTATTTCTATTTTTCTTGTACTTTTTTTGCTGCCTTGGCAACGAAATGAATGAATATTAACGATACAACAAAACTAATAATTGCAAAAAAACAATATAAATTTGCGTACGCTTGATCAATCAATGTATACATATTTTCGATATCGATGAAATACATTTCCACCGGTTCATTTGCCGCCATTGGGTGCATACTGTTAAATATTTCATCCGTCATGATAATGTATAAACCATAGGGCGAAAAGTCGCCCGGTCATAGAGCCTGCGCGATGGGCGTTTATCCCATACACAATCTGAAAAGTCAAGCTTGTAAGAACGAAGATGTAAGTGAAAGCCAAAGTCCACTCCTCCTCCACTCCAATAAAAAGCCAATCAACATTCCACACCGAGAATCTACTACACGCCACACTTTTAATCGTACTCTTAATACGTATACGCCATTATCAATGAAAGCTTTTGGCTCATGTTTTAATTCCGCAAACCATTGAAGCCACAAATCTGCATGAAATGCCAAGAATTCTTTTTCAATCTGATAGAAATTACATTTTGACTTTTGTTTGATTTTATCATTGTTTTGCCAGTTCTTATCCACCACATGTTTTTTTTTTCATGAGTTATCCAGTAGTGTTGGCAAATTATTAATACAATATTTACCAAAAAAAAAAGTATTTTATTTTAATATAGGTCTTCTTTATTAAGAGATCGTAAGCGGAAAACCCTATTCGGTTTTGCCAGATATCTTAGGGCGGAGAATATACATAGGATAGCCAGCTAGCACAAATCTATCTACGAAACGGTGCATCCATTAATCGTTTTCATGTGTCCCCCAGACCTCATCCGCCATATTGCATATAATTTTTTGCTATATATCCATCTATATCTTTTCATAGCATTTTGGTTTGCCGGGCACAAAGAATTTCATAAAAACCTGGACGGATAGACAATTTGTAAGCATTGCATTGCATATTGAAAACCCTCCAACCTGTTATCCCCACTCCATTTGCCATTACCACTCATTCCGTAATTCCATTAAAAAAAAAAGTGAATGCCATTCCTCGAAAATCCCATCCAAAATTAAAGAAACAAAGATCTCCATTCCGTGCCGTCTTAGAAAATGTTTGGGCAAGTCTCTGTCTATGTAAAAGTGTCACAGTCCTGAAGTCATTTAATGTTAGTAGTCTCCAGTTCATCTACAAATTGGAAGAGTTGCAAAAATAAACACTAAATTTAATCCATGAACCAGCTTTAAGTTTTAGAGCCGCCAAGCCACAGTTTGAGATGCGCTGCTCCCGCGCCGCCGCTGCTGTTGCTTACAGTTTGACCCGAACTGCGCCGTAGTTTACTCTGTAGTCTTGAGCCTCCATCGAGAGCTGTTGCCTCGTATATGTATATGTCAATTAACCCTGGCTTTTAGTTGTTTTTCGTTGACTTTTGGCCTTTTAGTTCATGTTCTTTCACTCTACTTTACCCACGCCAACGTATTTTGTTCTGTCATTGGCTAATTGCTACCCCTTTACTCGTAGTTGTAGCCGAGTTAAAGCCTCCAATCGATTGAGATAACAAGAGCTAACAAGAACCGTATTTGTTTTCCCATAGCTGTTCACGCTGTGGTCCTGGCTGCCTGTGCGGATAACAATGTACCAACCGGTGCTGCTCTACACCACCGAGGAGCACGGCTGCTCATTGACCACATTCTACGTCCGGGTGGAGCAGCACGAACCCACGCTGCTCATGATCAAGACGTGCAATAATGAGGTGAGTACTTGATTTCCATAAATAACTTAAATCACTACCTTGAATGTCAAGGGGTCAACGTAACTGAAATTTTATTGCTCTGATAAATTAATTTATTATTTTAATTTCAAAAATGAATTGAATTTACTTATTTGATTCTTGCTTCAGGTATTTGGTGCCTACTGCTCCTCGCGCTGGTTTGAAAGGAACGTGAAGGATGACAAGGGCCAGCGACAGGCCTACTTTGGCACCGGCGAAACCTTCCTGTTCTCCCTGTTCCCGGAGCGAGCCAAGTACCCATGGGTGGGCATCGAGGGCGACAAGGATCTGGGACACAGTTCCGAGCTGTTTATGGCGGCCGACTCCAAGATGATTACCATTGGAGGAGGGTATGTTGTGATACTCGTAATTTTACCCTCCTATTTGCTAATTAAATTACTTTTTTTTTGTAAACAGTGAGGGTCAGGCCATCTGGATGGACGAGAACATACGGTTCGGCAAGACGGATAGCTGCAAGACCTTCAACAATCCACCGCTGTGTCCGTCGGGCGACTTTGAGATTCGGGTGCTGGAGGTTTACGGCTTCGTGGGCATCTAAGAGAAAACCTATCCTCAGTCTGACCGATATTGCCCGCCGATGATCAAGTGCTCAGCCAATCTGCTCGACCTTCCCCCCGCGTTTCCTACACCCACTCAAACACCTACAGATTGCTTTCGTTTCCGCCATTATTGGCGGACGCTGATGATGATACCAAGATGAGAAAATGTGTAAACATTTATAAAAGCTTATTTATAAATATGTATCGAAAGTGGCCAAGCAGCAGCAAACGCCGCCGTCGTCGTGTTAATGTTTAATGTTAATGAAAAAAAAGAAATGCAAAACTAAAACAAATTATATATTATATAATGGAAATACTCTGTGAGTTCATGTTTCAAAACGCAAAGCTTTGAAATTACAATACCCTAGTTGTTATAACCCCTTTACATATATATACATGATATCTATACAAGCATATACATAATGAATTATACTAGAAAGTGTACATCTAAATGTAAAACGTATTTCTATAGCCATGTACCGCAGCAAAAAAAAAATATTCCTTAAAAATCGAAAGCAGAAAAACAACACCTGAAAACTTGGGCTGCAACTTCATTATTGTTTATTAGCGTTATTATTTCATTTAGTTTATACAATATGTATTTTTTCTTTCTGTAAACCAAATTTACTGACTTGACTGAATTCGTTATAAATGTTATTAATATTATTATTGCTATGTGTATAGAAAGTGTAACTTGTAAATTGCATTAAAAACAACCGAATGTTTCTGAAAGTTGTCTCCCATTTGGTCGCAAAAAATATAATGATAAAGCAAAACCAAACATCTTTCGATTAGTGCTGCTGCTGCCGCCAACGATATGCTCAGATACAACAGATATATACCATAGTTATATAGCCCCAATTGATTAATATAAAGCTTATGCCCTTAACCAGCGGAAATTGTAGTCGCTTCAAAGTTCAAAATGAGAAAAGGGAAAGATCAGGAATTGGACAGCTCTCGCCCATGTGCAATTGATCTCAAAGCGAAAAACGAAAACGAAAAACAAAGAAATGTATTACAAGTTGAAGGCTACATAAGTAGGCATAAACAAAAACGGAGAACAATCAATAATTATTTTAAGATTCCATTCCATTTTCAATACCAACGAAATTCTTTGCTCACCTCCACCCAAAAACTGCACGTACACAAAATTTTTGCACATTTTTCTAGTCAATTTTTATGTTTAACAAAAAGAACATGGTGTGTTTCCTCCAATTTCCCCCAGACTCAATTCCCATATGCCTTTGAGTGACTGTAGATTCCGCTGGCTTATTGATCGTTGCACTACACAAGCGAATTGTTACAACTTAATGGAAGAACCACAACGAAAATTGAGGCGTAGGGACAGTAGTGGCCACAGATTGCAGTTAGGACTCTCCAACCATTACATTGTGGAGCTGGTACTCCACAAATCCCCAACCCTATCCCACACTCAAAAAAAAAGAGATCAAAACCTCCATGAAAACCAATGTCACCTGCAATCTGTGGAATGGAAAGAGCAGCAGTGGAACGGCAAACTAAATATGAATAGTTTTTAGGTTTTAAACAAACTCTCTGTGTTGTTGTTACTATGATTCAATGTATATGTGTACGCAGCATTATATAACCGAACTCAACATTATATAACCCAACTACAAATAGTTGAACAAGTTGATCCATACAAGGCAAAAACAAAAAAAAAAAAAGAAATAATGAGAAAAGCAAATCTGTTTGTTATTTGTTTCCGAGTGTGAATCGCATTGAAACAATAGGTTTTACTATATTTGGTTGACTAATTCTTACACGCCGATAATATGAATTGTTGATAGCTTAAGCTTAATTCGGAGCGTGTTTGGCGAGGATTGTTTGTGGCATTGACGAGGCAGTTGATCCCGCGGGATTCTCGGAGATTCCCCGGGGAATATGCCAACTTGGACAGTATTTGGTAAAGCAAAAACAAACAAAGTCTTTTGTACATAAATTGTGTTCTATCTGAATTGTTCTCAATGTGTAGTTTAAATACGATATCTTGATAAATATCCATATATTTATATTTGAATGTTATTTATGTGTAGCCCAGAAAGTGACACGAATATTATCCACAGCTAACACCCATACAAATGATTAACCAACGTGTTGACTATATACCTACATACAATAATTTATACAAGAAACTGGAAATATATGTAAATCTAGATGTGTTTGACGATCAACAAGTATATTGATTAAAAATTGAAACGGCGATCGTGTGTATCGATTTTGAAATGTTATTTTATTTAATTTATGCATATTTTGTAATTTATAAATCCTAGTTACACATACTTACATACACACGCGCGGATATAAAGTAGGAGACGAGTAAATTTTATTCAATAAATTATATTAAATCAAACAAGAATAATTATATTATATAAAGATATATGTATGTTAAATCATTTTAGTGGATGTATAAAAACAACGGAAACAAAATCAAATAAAATGAAAATTGAAAAAAAAAATACAGCTTTGTTGGTTTTTAGCCATGCGAGTGATAGACATTTAAATTTTTTTTGACTTTTTAAGTTCTTTTTTGTTAGCAAGGTTTTTATTCTTAGGAACTTGTAATAAACTGTTAAGGCCACGAACTTTTCTACGAGTATTAATAATCCAGTTAGTTGTACACATCAATTTAACATACAATACTCGAGTATATTTTGGGTAATATGATAAATTGAAAAATGGTCGCCTCTCCATTTTTTCCTAATTGGTAAACAGGATAAGCAAACCAAGGGCAGAAAGGACTCCAACCAAGGATAGTGTGATTTTTCGTGGAGCTGCGTTACACAGATCCGTGTCGCAGAGGGCGCATCCCAGGAAGTTCATATAGGGCACCACCGGATCCGGACCATCATCGCAGTTAATGCTTATTGGCGAGGCGTCGCCAAAGTAACATGCTCGTCGCACAAATCGCGTTTCTCCAGGCACTGCCAAAAAAACAGGAATTGGTTGGGGTATTTCTTAACCTAGATTCCCGAATAGATATACTTACTGCCCTCATGGTACTTGGTGAGGCAGGTAGTTGGGGCACCTGGGGCTCGTATGCTTGCCACAACTTCGCAGTCCGTCGTGGATATGTCATCGCCCACAAACTGCTCCCCGCACCCTGGATTATTGACGGAATCGCATTCGTAGCAGGTAATGGCCCGAGCTGATGACGACATGCGTAGATATGTGTGTCAACGCGAAAAAACACAGAGAAGAAAACAATGGACCGAAATTGTATTCAGAACGTGTATATCTTAATACGTAATTTGTATACAAACATTTACTGTTCACGGGCGATAATATTGTCCTTCGAACAAATTGTATTTTTAAGCTGGTTGGTATGGGATGTGAATAAAACTTAAGTTTGCTGTGGGACATTAATGTGTGTTGAGAGTGTAAAAACATTTTTAAAATACAATTTGTAGCTTATCTCAATTCAACTGATTCGCTAAAAAACCAACGAAACAAACAACAAATTTTAACTTATTTGGAAAGGAATTTTATTCCTGATAATAATAAAATTATTAGTTTCTCTTAATTAAACTGATTCACTGAAAAAACCAACGAAATAGTAGATTACTTGGAACATTCAATTCTTACAAATTTTAACTTATTTGGAATGGAATTTTATTCCTGATAATAATAAAATTTTTAGTTTCTCCTAATTAAACTGAATCACTGAAAAAACCACCGAAATAGTTGATTTCTTGGAATTTCCAATTCTTACAATTTAAATTTATTTGGAAAGGAATTGTATTCATGATATTTATAACAATGTGAATATAATTTAAGGTGCAGGAATGGGATGCCCACCTGAGCTGGCCAGCGTGACGAGCAGAAAAAGCGATAGGAGCGCGCGTAGAGGAGCCATCGCCTTCGCCATCGTACCGCCCCCGAAAACAGTTGAACCCACTGTTTAGCGGTCGCGGTGAGTCAACAGCTATAGCGATATAGCAATGCCGATACGTGCGCGAATACAGATGTTGTCTTCTCAGCTGCCGGACCGATTTGAATCACATGATAGACCCGCTATATAGCCACGAACCGCCGACAACAGACTACCGACCGCCGACTCGAAGCGTTTCGCACACGCGACTGAACGCAACTAAACTAGATGAGCGAACAATCGTATTCAGAATGTGAATTTGATGTTCAGAACAGATTTTCACTTCTGCCTCGTTTGCATTTTCCTGGCTAACGCGCGTGTTGACATTGTGGCCAACGACGAGGTGGATTTCCAAAATATATAACAACAGGTTTCGCCCATCCCATCGAATCCCATTCCATCGCATCGCCTCCTTCGCCGATCCATTTGGATCAGGGAAAAGTTCATTAGTGGCATTTGAACAAATAAACAAATTGGCGTTCTGTGTAAAATTAGTTTTTATTAGTTTGCATTCGGATCGTTCGAAATTTGTTTGCCAGCTTTTCGGCTCATGTCGGCTAATGTTGCTCATACGCCATGTTTGCCGATGATTGGCCATTAATACAGTGGGGTAGATTGTGAGTTTTGGCTTAATTGGGGGTGCTGTGTGGACTTTGTTAAGTGATAGTTTTGGACCTTGTTGGAGTATAGCTAAATTGAACTAGGTTTACTTAAGTTATTGTGCCTTTTATTGTGCGTTTCGTGCCCCACATTATTTTAGTGTCTTCCTGTCATTTCAGAGTAGCTGATGTGCCAAGAGAAACATTAGCAGACTGGCGAGAATTCTCCACTTGTCCACTGCGCTCTCCGCCCCATTGCAGTAGTCCTCGTCGTCGCACACATGACAACTGGCGTTCTGCACCGCCGTCAGTGTGGGATCCATTTTGCACCACACGTCGGTGGCATTCACCTCGCCGAAGTAGCAGCCCCTAACGATCTTACGCACGCCATTTTCTGCGGAAGGAAAACATTTAGTTAGTCTACTTTAAGGCTGAGTTATCATTAGAGAACATGTTTTATGCGTTCCATTTTTAATGGGATTATACGTATTGTTCGAGATATCAAAAGATTTCTGGTAAGTCTATGAAAATATTTTGAAATAAGGTCGCAGCTGTTGGAATGTGTAGAAATTAAGCATAACTATTTTGTTTGCGTCACAAAAAAACTATTTTCATAATTAAATCTGAATGGCGTCCTTAATATGTGTTTACACTTTAATCTGTATCATTAATTTCCATTATTAACGAACATGGTTTATTGTTTAAATAAGGAATGAAACGGATACTCATCGTTTTTAAAACCTGTTCTTTTTCATTTTGTTTTTAATTTTGACTTAAAGCACTTAACAAATGATACTTTCTCTAATAAGGTGATTGCCTTTTAAAATTGTAAATAACTTGGTGTGCAGTTAAACGGTCATAAATCACTTCAGACTGCCATTAAGCAAACAACTATATTTTATTGGCTTTTGGTGAATGAAAGAACTATTTTTGCAACATTGTGAATACTACGGCAATCTAACTTACCCTGGAAGACCCGTTTCAGGCAGGCCGTGGCATTCACGTTGAGCAGATCGTTCTCCAGAAATCTCGGCGGAGCGATAAAGGCGCAGTCGTATTTGAAATGGTTCTCGACTGCGAAGTCCTCGCCGCAACTGTCCTCGTAGACGGATTCGCAGGCGTAACACTGGATGGCGTAAGCTAATGGCATTGGGATAGATAGATAGAAAGACCAGAGACGCCTCTTATTTATGGCACAAATGAGATCAGACAGACAGCCGACTCGTCGGCAAACACAAAACTCAAAGCGAAAAGTAAAAGAATCGGAAAAGCAATTCAAATCCAAATCCAAACAGACAAAAACAAACCTGAGGCCAGCAGCGAGATGAGCGCGCCAAACAAAAGTAAATAACGCCGCATTGTTAATGAAAAACGAGAATTGGGTTTGGTTTTTTCACCTTTTCCGTTTGCGTTTGGATTTTGTTTTATTTGATGGTTTTATGGAAAATAATTCAAGTGGCGCGCTTATTTTTAACTCTGCTCAGCGCAATTGAAACGATCCGCACGAGATTTAAATATAAAATGTATATCTATTGTGCATAATACGTATGTCCAATATAAATGACTTCAATATATTTTGTTTGGTTTCAGACCGTTAGGAAAATAAAATGTAAACACGCGTTGCCAATTTTCCCCTGAGTTTATTTCGATTTTCCCCGATTTTCCCGGCTAAACACCAAGAGCCGCCTGTCAGTCGACGTCCGCAAACGAAATCGAACTAAAAGAATGCTAAAAGCATATTCCAAATTCAACTCCTTGCCGCTTTTCTCTTTGGCAGTTCCACGTTCTCTTTTTTCCTGCGAGGGCAAAACTAAAGGCCATTTCGCCTGGCGTCATCACTCAGCGTTTTAATTTGTCTAAATTTAATGAACATTTTGTGTTTTACTCATCAAGTGAGTGGAGATTTGCCGCCGAATTTATAGCACACATGTGGGAGGTGCCGGGGGAAAACTGGGAGTGTATGGCCGCGCCACCGAGGAAAATCACAGAGAGAGCTCTTCAGCTTTTCCCGCCGTTCTATTATCGTCGGACAAGAGAGTTCCAAAAAATAAAAAATAAAAATAAGAGCAGCACGAGAGGTGTTATGGGTGAGGAAAACCTTAAAGTGAGGCCAAACACGAACGTATCTCGCTGTTCTCCAACTCCTCGATTATCTGTTAAAAGCAGCAGTTAAATAAAGCAAAGTAATTAAAATTCTATAGAGTGGGCAATAAAATAAATGTCATTTTAAATAAATAAGTGATATTTATTGTGACAACAAATTGCTGGAAAGGTGTATAACAATTCAAAGAGATTCAAGTGTGACTAAAGCAGATCCAATTATGGCTTTTCAATAAGCAGACTCGATATGTGTTAGGTGGTTCAGCTAACATCAATAAATGCATCATATTTAGGCCAGCAGACGAGCCACTCCGAAGAACAGAACGATGACTCCGGCAATGGGAGCCATGGAGGAGGATCCGTTGCACTCGTCCTTGGCGCAAACTTCGCAGCTCAGAAGCTTGGGCAGATTGAAATTGGGATCAGTTTGGCAACCGGTCTGCGTGTTCGTGATGTCGCCGAAGTAACACGACCTCACGATCTGGGGAACTCCAGGCACTGCAAAGAGGTAAATTTAGATTTAAAAATTAATACAAAAATGTATAAAGAAGTTCTTCAGAGTTAATTAGAAATTACTTTGGTTGTACCTTTTATAGGTTATTTATCAAAGAACAATTTATTTGTATTTTATTTATGAAAATTACAAAAGTTATGGACTTAAGAGTAGTGAACTTTGGTCCATTTTTAGCAAACCCATATTTTGTTAACTTGGAAAGGGTATCTAAGATTCGGATCTTAAAAGCTAGTTTCCTTTCTTGTCTTTACCTCATAAAGCATGATAATCGGTTGTGTTCCATTATGGCTTTAAAGTTTATGTAACCCCTCAGGTTTTTGGTAATTAAGATTAAATATTACGACATTACACGGCGCTGTGCATACTGATGTGTGCGGAAATAAAAATAGAGGAGACCATTCCAAAAAATATTTTCAGTTTCTCTCTCGTTGAGCTTTGACTTTTACGTGCTCGGATTTTCAATTTATTTCGTATACAAATTTTCCATATGCAACACAACGTTTATTTCATTTCAAAACAATCTATGTTTTTGATCTTTAGCTGGCCAATAAAAGCTCAATGTAATAAAAAACGAGCTAAAAATTGTGTTCGGATAGTATAAGTGACATTTAAATATTTAATGGGTTGATAGTAACAAATATTTCTGTATTGCCTAGATCCGTAAGCTGAACACGAACACAATCGATTACTAAGTAAACCAATGATCGATATTTATATATAATGTTTATTCCAGTAAAGTGTTTGTATGTCAGCAAGTGAAATTAAAATGGCTGTAGATTCAATAAGCCCATTTTTATATATTGCTCTATTGTTCTCCATTTATTCTCAATTAATTATTATTTTTTAAGTAATTAAAAAGTATCTGCTGATGAATCTCCCACTAGCATTTTTCTTATTCATGCTCTTCTCACACAATATTATATGATTGAAATGACGCCGTGTGAATACTTCTATAGCTGTGACTAACTTGTGGGCTGGCTGTGATGCCATTTGTCAGCCAGTTAATTACAGCCGCCACTCCCTTGCCTTTTTGCAATAAGAATCGAGACGCAGTCGAATGTTAATGCAATTAACAAACAATTGCCGGGGCGATTTTGCGGTCAGCGAGCATAAATACTCCTCCGATCCCCCAGAGAAATCTACGAAAAACCACTTGATAGAACCCTAGTGAACATTTGTGCCTGACAATTGCTGGGCAATCAAGCAAATTGCCCGAAAGCGGTGAGCAAATAACTCAAATAGGTATCTCTTTATAGGTATCTGGTGTTTATAAATTTATAATGAAGAGAACATATTGCTTGGGGACTAATTTCCATTTATATTTTGTGATTAAGGTCTCTGGTGCAACTTGCAAAACCAAGGGTAATGACTAATAAATCAAAGTCTCAGTGAAAGTGTTGAGCTGGGAAACAAACAGATTATTCTTATCTGTACCTCATAAATATACTTCCTCTGTTCATCATGCGTTGTTCCCTTCATAATCAACATGCAATACATATCAAGCTGGAAAGCATCCAATAAAGACTTGAAGATCTTGAGCATTTCTAAATATACTTCAATGTTCAAACTTTCGATTTTGTCTTCGCAAATGATTGGAATTTAAATATATCAAAATAATTGCCTTAAAAAATGTAACGTTACTGATGGGATAATTAAATCCATAATTAGATTTATTCACTTGCTTTTCAAGGGTAAAAGTGACAAGACTGTTAGCTATTCTGTGCCAAAAAAAGGTGCAGCCCCAGTTAATTTATCATTTGAAGTCGCCTTAGTGAAGATGGTCACGCGTGGTCAATCGATACGATGAGATCACGGTTATTAAATGCGATCTGAATCTTGTTACTTACAGTCAAGCGTCTGCTTCATGCAACCGGTGGCATTGCGAACCGGGAAGAAGTTCTGCAGGAATCGCGGAGGAGCCGTCTTGGCGCAGTCCAACAGCAGACTCTTGTCGGCCCTGAACTCCTTTCCGCAATTGGAATTGGTCACCGAATCGCACTGATAGCACTTGAAGGCATAACCTGCAATTTGATGATTGGAAGATCAATTCGGAAGGGTTTTATGCCGCAGAATCTCCTACCAGTGCAGGCCAACGTGGCCAAGACGGCGATGGCCAAGATCAGTTTAACACTCGATACCATTTTCACTTTTAAAAATCTACTTTTATGAACTATTCTTTAATTCAAACCTTGACTGCACGACGGCTGGCGAGCGTTTGTGGGCTTCCATTCAGCGTCCAAAAGCGTTCAGTCCGTTGACCATCTTTCTACTCAGTTGTTTTCCACTCGGAATTTCACTCGCTTCAAATCAAGCTTCCACTCAAAACGACTTTGAGTGGCTTTTTGTTTTTGTGTACGTTGCGTGTTTGAATTCTGCGTTTTTCAATTTGTATAGAAGCTGCCACAATGTTTTCTCTCGCAGCATTTGACACACAAACGGTAGCATATATACATAAATATAAAGAATTTTTGCCGACTTGTTTGGGGTGATGTCAGCCGTTTTGGCTAGTTGCTTATTTTTGTTTTGTTTTGCCACTCGGATGGGAGACCTATTCCGACGCTCCCAAAAAATGCCGAAAAATCACTTTTTTCGCCTCTTTTATTTTTATTTTGGAGTATTGTGTAATCGTCATGAGGTTCTTATGCTTCGCTAGGGTAATAAATTTTGAATGTCATGTAGGTTCAGATCCCTGGAATCGTCATCGCGCTTAAACCAGTTGCCATTGCTTTTTCGATTCTAATGCGCAGTTCGAACAACATTCGGATATTTCACTCGTTCTCATTGTTTTGCAAATTTCAGCAATTAACAACGTTCTGAGCTGTCACATAACGAAGATCGCTAACTTATCGTAAAGCTGGAGCCCTTTGATTCAGCTATATACTATATGTAGATATGCATTCATTTGTCAGAAAATTTGTCACTTGCTTTCCGTAAAACCAAAAAAAAAAACGAAGATTGTGGATTATTCTCAACGTAAAGGAATTTTATCTTAACAAAACTAAAAATAAAAATCAAGAGAAATATGACTTTTATCGTATGTTTCAACCCCTCCTATTCCAATGCCTTTTTAATTAGTTCCAATTGCATTTTTGGTTATACGTTAATTGTCCCCCTATATAGTCAGTATAAAATTCAACGCCTAATTGAATTATGGTCGACTCATATTGTTTATTTTTTTAGCCAACGGTTCGTTTCTTTATATTTCCAGAACATGGAACGACACTCGGTTAAGTGACTTTCCCACAAATTTCTATTTTCTTCAATTAAGTAATTCCTTAATTATGCTAAACGAGTTTGGGTTAATTGGGGCTTGGCGGGGGGCTGAGTGTCTTCGGATGTTGCAGCTTCCAGTGGCCTCTGACCTCGGATGCCGGGGACTGGAGTTCCTTGAACCCAGCTGATCTGCATTTAACACTTTGTAAACTCGCCTCCGAAGGGTAGAAGAATTACTGAAACTCGACATGCAAATGAAATTGAACCCAATTATGTGTAATTAAGCGGGCAGACAAACATAAATCCCACTTCCCGCTCGAAAAAGAGGGGAACTGTGAGACGTTTTACAAATTTCGGTGCTCATGTGGGTGCACATACTAATTAGGTCCCAGGTGTTTCGCACTCCAACCCCAGAAAAGTGAAAAAGATTCAGTTTCTGTTTCGTTGTGGCTCCGAGTTCTGAGTCATTGAACTGCATCTTGAAATTTATTATTATTTAATGACTCTACTGAAAATGAGTCCTCCGTACAAATTACGATTTCGAGGGGTCTGCTGTTTTTTCTAAATAAGATATAATTGGGAGGGAGTTACTCATGTCGGCTCGTCTGATGATTTACAAGGGCTAGGCCGAAGTTACAAAGTAAATAAACTAGTAATGCTTTTTTTCCAATGAGTTTGCTAGTACAGAAAACGAAACCGCAGAAAATAAAAATAACTGAAATATGGATGAATAATATTGTCCCTTTTTATTTGTTTTCCTGAAAATGTTGAACCGAAAAAAAACGATTTCCGTTCAAAGTTAACTTTTACCCAAGAAAAAATGGTTAAACCTCATGCATCAGATATTCATAAAAATCAGATCAGATAGAAAATTGTAATTTTCTTAACCTTTGGTAAGCGCTTTTCTTCCCTTTTTCCCCAAAAATAATACCCAAAAATCCACAAAATTATTTGGTGTACTGCTAGGACAACCTTCTGTCCTTCGTTTATTTTAAAATTAAATTTAGAGCAATTTACACAGAATAAAATTGATGATCGCTAAGAACATTTAGGAGAAGTGTGAACTACTGGCTAGTTAAGATCTAGGCCAACAGGCGGGCCACTCCGAAGAACAGGACGATGGCTCCGGCGATGGGGGCCAGGGAGGAGGATCCGTTGCACTCGTCCTTGGTGCAGACATCGCAGCCCAGTTGCCTCACGAAGGGCAAAGAAGGATCCGACTGGCAGCCAGCCTGCACGTTGCTCACGTCCCCGAAGTAGCAGCTCCTCACGATCTGCGGATGTCCGGCCACTGAAAGAAATAAGAGCAGAGTGTTTGGTTTGCGATGAGCAATTGGGCCAACAACTTTCTCGACTGGGGATTACTAAATGAACCGATTGTTCACTCCGCCATTCGCACTTGTTAATTGTTTACTTGAGTAAATACAAGTATTTGACACTGCTATTTATTGTGCCAAAAAAGCAAAGCACCACAATTCGTTTTAAAAATAAATATATATATATTTACAGACAGTATTTGTTCATTTTCATGTGTGATCTCATCACGGCTCTCTCTAAATTTCTTGTAATTGATTAGCCTTTCTTAATTGACAGGGTTCAAAGCAGGTTTTGCTTTTCGAAACAATCATAATATTTATGGCGCTATATCTATCTGCCTTGCAAATCATTTCATAAATGCAAATCGTGCGAAAGCGAAAAGCCTGCGGCATTCAATCCCCATCTCGTCACTGCTATTATTATTGTTTATGCGAACCTAAATTAAGCTCTCATTTTGATGTAATTACAAGAAAACAAGTCGCAAAAAACGTGACGAGAATCACGTCCAAAGGAAAAAGTAAAATTTGACACGAAGATATTTACGCATGACATCAGACTGTGACTCCTCTGATTTCCTCTGATGATCTCAGGGCTTTTGTATACAATTTGGGGTCGTAGCTTTGGCTATTTCTAGTTCGCAAAAATGTATTCTGGAGCCTATAAACTTACCGCTCTCGAGAGTCTTCTTCATGCAGCCAGTGGCGTTGCGCAGGGGGAAGAAGTTCTGCAGATAGCGAGGGGGTCCAATCCGAGAGCAGTCGATAAGCAGGGATTCATCCTCCTCGAACTTCAGTCCGCACTTTGGCATTGTCAGGGACTCGCACGAATAACATTTGATGGCATAGGCTGGGGAAGGAGTTACGATAGAGAATGGATTAGAAGAAAAGTATTTCTGGGAATATTTAAGAAGATCTACATTTTTACGGATTTTTTAATCTATTATTTAAGTGCTTTATCAAAACCGAAAATCTAATAATTTAATGCATTGAAAAGAAAAGTCATTAATGTTTTAAATGTAATATTTTGAAACCGTTCGTTGAAAATACAAAAGAAGAATAAGTTGGCAAAAGTTTTTATGGTTTTCAGATTTCTCTTAGCACTTTAAAATAACCGAAAATCGAATTATAAATCTTAAAATTTTCCGCGGACTAGCTCTCCTTGAACTCCTTCGGAAAAACGGTTTCCACTGCCCACACTTTCAACTCAACACACCCGAACAAGCCAGACTGATCATAACGGCCACGGCCAAACTGCATTTCAGAGCGGACACCATTTTCACTGGCACTTCTACTTCGGTGGAAAATGCGTTTCGGAAAATGAAATTATTTGAAGTGTGAGGCACGAGTATCAACCGCTTTCAACGAGGTCTGCAGCACGTCTGAAACTGTTGAGTTCCAGCAGCAACATCGCCGACTTGACAGCAATCGCCCCTAAAAAAGTGGCTCAATGCTCAACGCTCTCGAAATGCGTTTTCGGTTTTTGTTTTGAGTGAAAATGTTGTTTTGATATGGGGGCTTATTTCGACTGTTTTTTCTTTTTGGCTCTAGAAAACCGGTTCTTACAATTAGTTGTTGAAGTATTGTTAGTTTGGTGACCTAAGTTTATTATTGAATGGCTTGCATTTACTGCAGCCATTTTTTGTAAGGCTTTTATAACTTCAAAGTGCACTCTTAGTTCAAAAATGCATGAGTCAGAAACAGATTCATTAGCATATACTCTCTAAAGTGTTGTTTGCATCGGCAAAAAATCCAAGTGACAGAATTAAGACGCTAATACGCATAGAAAATGTTCATAATTGAGTGTTTTTATACAAATAACTAAGGTTGTAAAAGTGCTTTTAGTCGCCTCCCAAAAGTATGTCATCAAATTTAAAGCATTTCTATGCAGAAAAGATACGAATTCCTTCGACTTATCTCATTGAGCACGATCGAAACTTAATGATGTGAAGACTGGGTGACACTAATCAACAAGGACGGCAAATGATTTGCATAAATTTAATTAGAAGTGGCCAGCTGGGCGGACATGGGGGCTTATAATGGATAAATGGAAGGCTGTGCTGGGGCCAGTGGAACGAGGACAACGGCAGGATATTCGTGAGGGTTGCATTGTCTCGTATGTGGGTTGACTAATTGGATTTCAATTCTATGGCTACCCGAGTGGATTAGTGCGACAGTGACGAAAAGGTAGCGTATTTATAGGAGATTAAAAACCATAAGTACATAAGCAAAGGTTAGGGAATTGTGAATAAAATAATTAATATTAACTCCAAGAATGAAGCCAACAAGATCCGTAAAACCTGGGGTTTCCAGAATACCACTGATGTTTTCCACCAACCAAAAAATTAAAACAAGAAAAAAAAAAATAAACTAATGATGCAGTTTGTTAGGGAACTGAAACAGAAACATTTAGAGGTATGCCACTTCAAAATCGGATTGAAAATTAGAAAAGTTATGGACTTAGAAATAGTGAAATTTTAGCGAATTTTATCTAATGCATTTTTATTTTGTAACCCTCTTTTAGGTCATGGCTGTGGCAAAAAACAGAAGACAGAAGGCCTGCTGCAAACTGGTATCCCAATTCATCCGAGAATTCCAGATGGTATCATCCGAGGCAGCGAACGGGGACACAGCGTTGGATTCCTAATTTAACAATAGTAAATTGACTAGAATAAGACTCACAAGACACAAGGATTGTCCAAAAATGTACAATATAAGCGTAGGAAATAGCTATACTAAATTATGAATAAATAAACTAGAACTGCTTGGCTGACCGATTTTGACGAGTGCAACCAAGCCATGAGATTATCTCTTGCAGATCATTTTATTGATCCTTTAATCCCACCCAATTCATAGAGACTTCAGATGTGTAAACTTTATTCGTACTGTTTTGTATATTCGAGTGCTTTAATACTTTGATTTAAGTTGAGTTTCTTCTTTGTCTAGCATCTGTGATAATTACATAGGTGAAGGCTTGTGTTCTTTACATTAAAATATCATGTTTTACATAGACTATTAGTGAGTATTTACTGTGCTCGGGGGTTTAAACTCTAGTGTTTATTGTTTTGTAGTTTTAATTATTTTGTATTTGGTATCGTTCTATTTACTTAGAATTTCATTTAGATTTGTTTTGGAATTTTCGGGCTTTGAGCTTGACGAACATTGGCACTCGGCCAGGCAAATCATAAACTTATAAACGAATCTTAAACTTCGATCTGAATGTAGGCTAATCAGTAAGGGACTGAGGGATCTAGAGTCCCCGAAACTAAGTTAAACCGAGCTAAACGTAAAAGTTAATCAGCAACAGCTCGGCCCGCAAGGCCAGGCAAAATATCACGTTTCAACTAAAATACAATACAGAGATGCTTCGCTTAGACGGCCAACTGTTGGATCAAAGCCACGACGGGCAGGAGCAGCAGGATCTCCAGGATGGCGGTTCCTGCGAAGGCTCCATTGCAGCGATCGGTGAGGCAGTCCTCGCAGAATATCCGACGCACATTCTTCTCCGGACTGGTCATGTTGCACAGCTCCACGGGATCCGACTTGTTGGTGTAGTAGCAGAACCGCTTGGTTACTATTTTTCCATTGTCTGAAAATTGTAAAAAAATATTTGATTAATATTTTGACATAAAGAAAACAGTAAGGAATATATGAAGGTTTTTTTTAGAATTTATTTTATATTGCTTATAAGTAAATACTTACTCTCCTCCACTGTTTTGCGGCAAACAGCGCGTTCGTGATCGGAATGGATGGTGCTGTTGCAGCTCCTCAGCAGATTGATGTTCCGCTCCTTGACCTCCGTGGGAATGCTGTCCTCCTGGAAGGTCACATCGCAGAAGTCCTCCGCTCCCACGGTGTCGGAGCTGCAGTGCCAGCACTCCAAATGCTTCTGGTGCTGCTCGTTCCCAGCTGAAAGTTAGAAAATACTTCCATTAGTAAGTTAAACTTTTAGTAAATTGACCTTTCACGGGGTCACCGGAGAAAGATATTTGGCACAAAACGTGCCACCGAAAAACAACTGTGTTTGCGGACCAAAAATAGAAGATTGTGACACAGTTTTGTGACATCATCATTTTCATGTGCCACCCTCTTTGGAGTCACCCACTGGGAAATTGGAGAATGCGTAGCCAGTCGATGTGGCGCCTCAGATGGATTTTATTATGTATACGTTGCCAAGGGAACGCTTTCAAAAAGTTATGCTCGAATATTAAAATTTACTCATCCGTATTTAATAGCAAATTTTGTTTCATTTGATTACCAACGGTTGTCCATAAGTTACTGTGTCGTACTAATTAATAATTTTTAATAATTCCTCTATGAATCATCCATAACTATTCAGTACATAAATAAATAAAGATGGTTTCATGGAATTCAGCCATCAGTTTTCTGAACTGATTGATATTTTCTATTTGTTTCTGTGAACATATTATTTGGACTCTTTGTTTATTTTCCTTTTCAATATAATTTGTTTTTCTTCCGTTCACCGCGTTTATTTCACACATCTTATTGGATCCCCACAACCAAAACATAGGAATCCAAATGAGTCTAAACTATTTATAGAATTATTTAATTAGTGGAAGAGCTTAGACGAAGTGAGTAATTGAGATTGAGATTCGAGGGGGGAAAACTCCTCTAATTGCGTTGATAAGGTTGCGTGATTTGGCACGACAGTAAATCAAGATCGCCGGTGGCGTCCTTGGAAGAGTTTTGCATGTCCTGCCAGTTGAAAGTGCCAGGACTCGCCTTGTTTATCACAGGAAAAGGCAAACATGCCACAAGTCCAGTGGAGCAGCGAGGCACCTCGAAGGCAAACAATCTTGGAATGGGGCTCCTTCGAGAAGTAGTGGCCGTCAAATATTGACTGTAACATATTTATACTTCGCTCTTCCTTGCGAAATTGCATTACAACAGCTAAAAGTACTATATTACGTATATATACTTTCAATCCTCCAGTTCTTGTGGCCTTGATGTGCCAGTGGGTCTGGACATATGCAAAAACCATTTGCAACCAATTTCTCAGCCTAGTTGCCTCTTTTGTTCTGGTATTTCCAAATATTTCTTGGGTAATTGGCACGGTTTAAAATTTTATAGTATGGGGGGTAATTGATTGTTTTGCAATGTTGCACAGGAAAAAAGTTATACCTATTCTACCTTTTCTTCTACAATATTCTTTATAATTTATAATAACATGTTTTGCATACAATATCGGACTAAGTATGCATTTAAAAAATAACTAAAATATCTTTCCCATGTACCCTTTTTTTTTGCAGTGCATCTAATGGACACATCAAGGTCGCCGCCTAAGGATTTTATATCGCCCACGTTCAACATTCTGCACTGAAAGTATTCGCTGAGGTCACGCATATGGCCGACTTGCTGTGGCTTCCTTCAAAGAGGTCCTCGTGTAATTGAAAGCCGAGACTTGTTTGAAGGAAGTTGCACTTCACAGTTAGTATAGTGTTTCGAACTTTCAACCCTGACGTATAGTAAATGAATTCATTCTTTAAAAATATCAAAAAACACCCCCAAAAAAGAGGAGAGAATAAAAAAACATGATAATACGATACGGATCGGATGTGTGTCAGGACAATCTCCGCTTCCTGAATGAGGGAACCCCCGACTTTTGTTATCCGCTCATTATCAGTTTGAGCAAATTACGCAATTCAAGTCAGAATGCGGGGAACTAACCCCCAAAGAAGAAGAAGAAAGCAAGCCAGACTCTGACACACTTTTCCCACAAGGAAAAGGGGGTTGGGACTTTTCCGGGGGGATGACGGGGATGTCAGATGCCGAAGACAGCGGGAAACTGGAGCAGACGACATCCTGGCGCCACTCTGACATGCGCACTCCCCAGAATCTCATAAATCCAGATTGAACACACATCGCAAAGCCAGTCAGAGCAATTAGATAATTGCAGGATGGCAATAGAAGCTAATTAACTGGGAGCAGGAGCTGTTGCTTTGATTCGCCATCAAATGACCCAATCTCAATTATTTATTGCTCTCATCATCATTAGAAGCGATTCAGAAATGTTTAAAGCACCGTGCAAATTCTGCAACTGCATTTCACATTCTGTTTGGAAAATCAAGTGAACCACGCCGAAAAGACTGTGGAAATAAATATCTGAATGTCTGGCAGTCGGGCGAATGTTTTTGTATTTATAAGGCGTGCAGGTTGCCAATCAGTGAAAAGCGTGAAAATCATCCGAATGCGAATAATGCACGTGTATATATTTAGCGATGTTCATCAAGAAAGCAATGACCTGCGAATATTTCTGGTTAATGATGAGGAAATGTGCAGTATATTAGGGAAATTTGATTTTTACTTAAGCCAAACCAAAATACTATAAACAAATTCCGTTTAGCCATTTAAATTGTGCTAAACTTTCACAATAAATCATATTTTTTACACGTGTTTAATAGCAAACCAAACAAATGATCACTTTCTATATTTAAGCCCACATCGGCGCCTATTAATATTTCATTATATCCCACACAACCGATATTAATTTGTTTACGACAGATAAAAACAGCAGAAACCTCCATCATTTTGAGTGTCGTCCATAAATCCTCTTTCGCACCGTGAGTAATATGAAATGTGCTAAGTATATTTAATGGCTTCCACCTGAAACTTTTTTAGTTGTAAGCCAAAATTTTGAGAATTTTCATAAACACCGCAAGGGAAACATCGTTAAATAGCTGGCGGAAAAAACATAAACAAAGCTGGGTGAAAATTGGAAACAAATTTCATTTCATTCATGGGCTCCGAGTATAGAAACCATCACACCTCAAACTTTATGCGGATCGGCGACCTTGTGGTTCAGATGGAATTACAGTTGCACGAAAGAGAAAAGTTTACGAAAGTTTACTTAGTGCTCGACTTTGACAGATTCAGTATGCGTGTCCTTACTTGCAAATTAAATGAATAATTTATATCGAGTTATTTATGGTGCAAGCCTTTCAGATTGTAAGGTGCACTTTATTTAATGGAATTAAATTTGATTTTAATTAAAAATTAACAACTGATTTTAAGAAGTACTTCAATAACCATTTCTTTTACTTGTTTTAAAATATGTATTTTAGGAAACCAATATTTTAAATCATTGAATGGCTAACATTTTTCTCTGTGCACTCCCCACTCTTCGTGGTTTTGTGTTTACCATTAGATTAAAGACTCTTTTTTCACTTGGTGATCGATCATTCCATAACTTATTTGAGGTGGCTCACCTGTGATGTGCCAGGCGTTGGCCAAGAGAAAGACTCCAGCGAGGAGGGCTTTAATGGGCACCGCTGACATTGCTCCTTTGGAATGTTTATGGGAATCCTTTTGGGATGCGGAACGCGACTGGCTGGCGCCTGTGGAAAGTGCTGTGCTGTATCCTTAAGGGGGTGCGGGGTGTTCGAAATCGCTTCGAGAGCTGCGCGCGATGCAGACGGTTGCTCGGCCGAATAACGACTGTGGATTTTGCCGAGGCTTCTTAGCCAGAGTGCCAATATTTTGGTACTGAAAGTTTGGGCAGCGCAGTTGCGTCGCCGCCGGCAGAGCATTTGTTGTTGTGGTCGCTGCTCCTGGGGAAACCCTTGCCCGTTTTCCTTTATTATTATTATCTGCGAAAAAAACAAGAGAATCGCAACAGACAGCCAGCCAGACACACGCATTCGGTGGCTTTGTTTTTACTCAACGGTTGCCCTTTTTTGAGTTTTTTTAGGAGCAGCATATGCAATGCAGTTTAATTGATGACGTTGCTTTTGGCCGCAGATAAGTGGCTATCATAAGAAGTCATACAATAATTAGAAAGTAGAATTAGGAGGTTTAAAAATGATACTCAAATGAAATATTATAATATTATATAGAAAATGTTAAAACCTTAAATCCAGAATTGTTTTATGTATTTCATTTAGGAAACAGTTTCTCGCTGAAGGACATTTTGCCAATAAAATAATTTACCATTTTACGTAATAAATAAGAACCATTAAATAAACATATTGTATAATATTTATTAAGAGAAATTAAATTCATAACGGAAAAGCTCAAGCGAACTCGGTTTATAATACTTGGATGGTCACCCAAAAATAGTCTTGGTTTGTGACTCGACTAAGTGGAGACACTAATCTAAGTAAAACCAAACTTTTACTCACATTTTTTCGAAACGCATCTTTTAAACATAAGCCTATACAAGTTGGAACCACATATTTAATATTTTTTGCATAATTAATTAATAATAATTGATGGTCGTAATCAGTAATATTAATCATATAACGCCTTTAATCACTTCCCCCTCATTAAGCCGTTGACATATCTAGATCTGAGTGCTTAGCATGCTTAGCATTAAAAATGATTCACATCCTCAACACTTGGTGTCGCAAAAATGATTCATGAGTGCAGGACGCAGTGCCGCAACATTTGGCAACCGCCACTCGTCGGAATTAGCCAAATTTGGCAACGCTCCTACCAAATTGGCGACACACGCACCTGGCAGATATACGATTTCGTATGCAAATCTTGACACTAATCTGCGGCATTAGTTGCTCCTCCCAGTAGTAGTTCGCAGCCAAAGTTGACAAAGCGTGAAAAATGCACACGCAGCCGCCAATCGATTTGCGGATCGGATCCAGAATAGCCGGGGTTAAGGCCTGATCGCTTTGAAATCGTTCAGCATTCGAATCGAATCGATGCCTGCGCATGCGCATGCGCAGCGACCAACAGCCAACAGCTGCCCTCCGGGGCGTATGCGTAACATTCGATTGTCGATTCTCAATATTTTCCACAGCCCCATGCCCCATGATAAATGGCCAGTTTTATTGGAAACTCTGTACGACATTTTCGCCAGCCAACAAAAACAAGCTAACAACAATAACAACAACAACAAAAAATAAACTAAAATCCAAAACAAATAAAAGCCGTGCGACAAGTTTAAATGGCCAAAACGCTTTATTCGCGGCTTAGTTGCCACCCATTTTATATATTTATTTTGCGTTATTTCATTCGATGTTGTAAGTGTTTTTCTTTTTTATGACAGCCTTCGCTTTTCGTGCCATGTGACAAATTTTATTTATATACACCGCTGGTTTTATGCGATTTTAATTAAAGCATAATGGAATTATCAAGCTACCAGCGCAGCACCCGAAGTTTAGTAGCGATTTGTCTTCGCATTCAATCTGCGAACCCAGCAACTCCTACGCTCAATTGCCGAGGGTCAAAAGTCACCGAGAGTTGGGCAAAATAAAATAAGACTTTGTGGAGATTCAGAATTTGCGGGGATGGCAATTAACCAAATTCGTCAATTAAATGACAGGCTGAACTCATTTCCGCTTGGAGACTATATATGCTATATATACAGCACCATATATAATATTTGATGAACTGCAGAATGTAAGGCAAGCGTTCAGTCCTCAAAGCAAATGCAATGTCAAGCGCAGTGATGTGAGACAATTACTTTTGATTTGCTTGGCAAAATGTATTTTTAATGTGGGTTACGAGCGCTTAAGTCTGCGACTATATGCACACTGACTGAATAGTGTGGAGAATATGGTGTAGTGTGACTGATGTCATCAACCTACTTTAGGTTTACTTTAGTTCACAGAGTTTGCGGTTGCTTTAAAGCGAAGTAAATATATGGTTCTGTTTTCTATGCTTTTATTTTAGGGAAAGAGTTACAGAAGATTTGGTTGATTTACTTTGAAGTCTGATAATTTTCTACACCCTTAACCCGTGATTTGAGCACAAGGAACACATCCCACTTTGTAGATCCTGAATGGCACATCATACTGTTTCTCATCCAAAGTGATCAGAATGCAGTAGAGGAGCTGCTGCAACTGCCGCATTCTGAGGACATAGGGAGCACTCTCGGAGTCCTTGAAGAGGGGCCTCCCCTTCGCCTGGCAGTGGAAGAGGAAGAAGCCACCGCCGGAAGCAAACTCGGGAATGAAACCAAAGGCCAGAGCCTGATCTCTGAGCTGAAGTATCCCCGTTTGCAGGTGCTGGGCAAAGAAGAGCCTCAGCGCAGATCCCAAGCTCCTGCTTTTGCTGTACAAATTGCCGGAGGCAAACTTATCGATGTCCACCCAAAAGTGGCTGCCTTCCAGGGAGCAATTGGTATTGAGGGTCTCCATGGACAGATCTGCCACGAATTTCCTGCGTTGCCTGGACACCAAACTGTAATCGTAGTAATCCCGACCATTAATCAGGATTTTGTCCAGCAGTCGGGAGTTCCAGGAGTCCAGCGAATGGCAACTGCCGGCACAACAGGCCATCACACAGCAGGCGAGTGCCTCCCCAGGAGCCGAGATCCTCAAGGATGCTGGATCCGTGGAAGAGCTGGCCTCTTTGGACTCCACTTTCCTGGTGGTGCCCCACAGTGACCACAATTTGTTGGCGATCTCCACCTCGTAGCGATTCTCCTTTTCCTCCCTCCTCGGTCGCAACTGCCCTTCGGCATTGTGGTTCAGCAGGCGACTCCACAGGGGCAAAGGATGGTCGAGACACTCCTTTTCTGTCTCCTTGGCCATCTCTTGGGTGAAAGGTGTTTTTTTTTTTGGGCGAAAGCCACTTTTAGGATGTGAGGGAAGAAGAAAAGGTGCTAAGTGTATTAAAGCCTACTGCTCCAGATAATGCAAACAAAGATTTTTTTATCAAGAATTGGGATATGTTCTGATAAAAGTTAACATGCATTGTATTCTAGTTATTTTAACTATGTATATATATATAAATATATATATGTATATATTTTCACTTTTGTTAACTATTTATTTTGAATAAAACAAGTTTGTTTTCTTTTTTTATAGTTAAATCTGTAAAATCCCAAATAAATCTTCTTTTCTCATACCATCTAATTACGATTTATTTATTTACTCAAGAGCAGCAGCCAAAGGCTCCGCCCTCTCAATTACAAATACAATAATATAGATATTACAAAGATGTACAAGTTACAACAAAGTAAGCGTTAAGTGTGATCGAGTGTTGAATGATGGGTGTTGCAGAGTGTTGACTACGAGTGACTGTTCTGATTTTCGTTGGTGAGGTGACCAAGTAACATTTACATGGATGATGGCAAAGGGTTTCCAGCCTTCCCCTTCGCCAGTGATTTGTGCAGATTCGTGGTGGTGGCAAAGTGACTAAAAACTTGATGAAGAAATTCAGTTGAGTCCGGTCAAAGCACCGAAATTCCCGGGCCATCTTCAACTTCAGCTCGCAGTTGCGTAATTAAGTCCGAGCGGGATCCTCTGGCTCATTTGCATAGTGGCAAGTGCCGCAGGGAGGCCAAAACTACTGGCAGCAGCAGGAGCAGCACTAGGGGCGTGGCACCGCCGCCACCGTTGCAGCCGTCGGTGGTGCAGGTGCGACAGTAGACCGTCTTTATGTAGGACGAGGTCTGGTCATTGGCGCACTTGTCCGCCGAGTCGTCCATGTCCTCGTAAAAACAGGAACGCGAAATCACCCGCTTGCCGTAGACTGCAAAAAAATTAAAAAGAAAAAAGGAGAGCAGCGCTTAAGTATTTCCATACAACCGATTTAATTAATGTCTGCTCTGTGTGCGAGCATTAAATTTAATTTATGTGTACGTGCCGGCGTGGGCTGCCATTTATTTGAGCCATGGAAAAATCTCTGAAATGGCATTTACAATGGCCACAAGGCAATGGGGTATAAAAAGGCACAACTGCTCAACTTTAGATCAGCTAACCCAAAATATAATACCTATATCTAAAATATCTTAAATAAATTTCAAAGCTTATATTATTTTCTTAAGGTTTATAGTTAATTTATTTAATATCGAGAATTTTATTTTATATTTTTAATTAGATTTAACATATTCTTTTTTAGTTTTGCTAGCATATACAGAGTTTTAAGACTAAGAAATTATCTCTGAAAGGATACTTGCCATCGCCCTTCAACCTGCAAAAATTTCAAGGCTTTAAAACTATGAACTCATGAAAAAAAACGCGGCAAAATCAGACTGAATGGCCTGCGAAACGCACACGATTTACCAAATCGTACCTGAAACTCCACGAAACCAGAGACAATTTGCAATCAGACGGCAAATGGAAACCAGAAAAAATCTCACAACAAATTGCGTGTTGTGTGTGTGCGAGTGTGTGTATGTTTGTGCAGCAAATAGAACAAAACGACAAGCCACTAAAAACATTTCCAATGGATATACGGCAAGAGCGAACTTTAAAAGCCGCTCGAAATGGTCAAAGCTGGCCATTTTTGTGATTGGCTCAGACGGTGGGACAGTGGGCCACAGTCGGGCTAATAAAATTGTTGACAATTGTCGCCTTATCACGGCCGTCGCATCAAACAAGGCGCAGAACCGCCATCAGAATGCAGTAACCGCCGTGTGTGCCACATTGCGCATACGCCGCGTGCTCCGCTCGCCAGTGCAACGCGGCCAAAAATGCCGCTCGGACATTGTCTACCGCACACACAGCGCAATAAATTTAAATTTTAATTAATTTAATTATTTATGACTCGCAATGTGTGTTCAATAAAAAGTAGTTGGCACAAACATGGAAAAGCGAAGTGGAAAGGAATAAAAGAGTTTATTCTCACCGAATTTATTTTACTCTTGGGAAGAGCTGAAATTACGGAAAAAACTTGTATTGTTCCCTTAATTCTGACTTATTAAATACTGTTAAATTATATAAATTATACAAAAATGTCAACCTAAAAGTAATCTTTAAATGAGAAAGTTAATTTAATGAATGATGGTCTTTAGAGCTCAAAGCAGTTAACTTGTTATATCCAACATATATATCAAAAACTGACTTTATATACCTCTCCCTTTTGGCCAGTCGATTCCCTGGAGAAAAGAGGCAGAAATAAGCTGTTAGCGGCCAAAAATGGTCCTAGGCCAACCACCAACTTTTTGGATCGGAGCCAAAGCAACAGGTTGCAAAACACTCGCAGTCGCACACTGAAAATCAACAAGCTGAGGCTAATTGCTTGGCTTCATATTTTGGCATTATGGAATACATTTTTAATTTGACATTTGCCAAAAAGTTAGCCACTCGTCTAAGCTAAGCTCCATAAGCAATTAATTTAACGGCAAATAAAAACCCAGATGGCAACAACAAGTTGCATCGCCTAGTTGCATTTTTCTCAGACACATTCTGCCGCAGTAGCCCCCGATTTTCCCCTCAAGCCAACCCCTCCCCCTCTCGTCATGAAGTCGTAATTGAGCGCTTCACGCTGTGCAACAACTTAATTAATTTATATGTATTTTGTGTATTTTTTCCTTAGCCCGCTCGGCCCGTATATTATGTATTTTGCGCATTACAAGCGCTGCTCATGTCGCTCGGGGACCAAAAACCAAAACCCATTCAGAGATATAGATATATAGCGACGGTTGAGAGTCTGCAATTGCAATTTTAATTGCCAACTGCCAAGCTCAAATCTTGCAAATATTCGCCGAGCCAATTTGTAGACGCTTGATTGCAAAAATTTAATGGTGTTCATTAATTGGCCATAAGAAACTGCCTAAATGCGGCTCAATAAATCCCGGCCGCCGCTCTTTGTAGTCGCTTTTGATGGGTCTCAAATTGCAATGAATTTAAATGCAATTTGGTAAATTAATATTTAATCGAAAGTTGGCACTTCCAATTAGTTACCTGGCTTTAAAATATAACTAAGAATTTTTCAAACGTATAAAGCTTAAAATGTATTAGCGATGTGCTCTCTAATTCTAACAAAATCCGGTTACCATTTTTATTATTAGTTTGCTGTAAAACTTTTTCAAATGCAATTACATAATTTGTATTTGTATTTCATTGTTTGTTTGACTGACCCACATTTATTATTCGAACCCGGCTCGTCTGCCGGTTGGCAAATTTATGCGGCGGTCAACAATGCAACGTGAATTTAGATCAAAATGTAACGACACGGATCGCTTGACAAATTCAATTTTTTTCGCTTTGTTTTGGTCTGCTTTTCTGTCGTATGCAAATGTACAAATTGCTCTCACTACGGACGACAATAAAACCAGCAATAAACCGGGCGGACAAGATAGTAAAATCGGATTTGGGATCGACGAAACCCACCACGAAATATCACTCATTCGCCCCGTTTGCCGGCTCTTTCTCCACATAAATTTGCCGTAAATTAGCGGCACATGCAACAGCAACTGCGGGCCAAAATGTCGCCACTTGTTGTCGTTGCCTTTGTTGTTGCACAGCCACGCCCCCTTGAAACGCCCAGCAACAGCGGCAGCTGCAGTTGCAGATTTGAGCCGTTCGTTCCATTGGCAATTGTCTGCTGGTTGAGCTGTTGTTGTTTCTGTTGTTGTTGTTGCTGTGGTTTTTGTTGTTGCGTCGCCTGCACTTGTTTGGACTTTGTCAGGGCAATAAATTTCAATCTTGTTTGACTCTCGGCCACAGCCGGGTGTGAGTCGCGTCGATCTAGAGATCCCCACACTCCTCAAGCCCAATAAAATGTGCAGTCCAAAAAAATACTATTGATAGCTTAATACCTGCTAAGTTTTATAAAATAAATTACTAAAGAAGTAAAGTGCTTTTGAGCAAACTAAAAGATCTTTCATCTACTTGATAAATTAATAAAAAAAAATTGTTTTATCACATTTTCCGTTGGTATAAAATACTAAGATAAAATATCATAACTAAACATCCTATTCGAACTATTCAATCCTTTTTCAATCAGATTACTGAGTTGTTTGAAATTATACATTTTTTTTTTAATATTGTTCATTAAAAAGACTTCTTTTTTCTTAGTGTAGGCTGTCCAAAGACCGCACACGCGGTCACAACAATGCAAATGCAACGGGTGCACAATTATTCATGCCTGTGGTTTTTCTTTCGCGGTGCACCGACACTGAGTGGTATAAATATGTTGACTGGACTGGGGATTGGGATCTCACCTTCCTGAACGAGTTTCTTGCAGACGGGCCTGGCGTTGACCGACTTGGCACCCACCGAGTAGGTGCAGTTCACGTAGCTCCAGTAGCGCTGCTGCTCCGAAATCGAGTCCGGAATGAAGGGATCGTTGCAGAACTCCCCGTTCGAGACATCCGTGGAGCATCGCCAGCAACGCAGAACGGCGGAGGCTGAAATGGTTAATTAACAACAATTAAGAAAGGCATTTATAACTCAGATAATCTTCACAGCATTGCAAGGCTAAATGGTATTTTACAAGTTCAGAATAAGTGCTTAATCAATTGGCGTTTTAAATTGAAAATAATGGATATATAATGTAAACAATAAATATGTTGAAACACTTTAATTTTGTTAATCAAAATCAAACACTTCTCAATCTAATGGATTTTTAAACCTCATTAAAGCTTCCACTTGATCTTAAGTGATTTCCTGTGTTGCCAAGACCACCAGTTATGGTTTACCATAATAAAGTAACTAACTAATTCTTACTGTGCGAAGCCATAACCGTTCGGCTAATGAATCGCAGCCCATCATAATCAAGTGGAATGGCTGCTAAACTCCATAATTTCCCGCTGCATGCGATGCCGTTGGCGGAGATCTTTGAAATACTGCCGAGCAGCCGCTAATTTCAGTCGGGAGCCTTTTTTCCGAGTTATTTATGCGACAGGCTATGGGGCAACTGCCTTATAAAAGTGTCAAAAAGTTCGGCTTTGGCTGGTTTATGCGTGCGATTAGCGGCCGCGACTAGTGTGTAAATAATTATTTGATTAAGCTGAGCCATCGATTGTTACACCGCCAAAAATAATCAGTTTTAGTTCATATTATATATTATATATATTTTTTTTATATAATAGAATATTAATTCTATAAATAAGAAAGGTTTGATAATAGGATCAAGATTTTGATACATTTAACTACGCTATTATTTGAATGAAATGATATCCAAATTTATTATAAGTCGTCTTACCAATTTTAGAATTAATTAATTAGAAGTAGTTTTGTTATGATAACTAAAAATGTATTTTAAAGTGATATTCTTTGTGCGTTTGGTTCTCAACAAAGTTGAGTGATGATGATGACTGCCGCTGTGATGGCGGCCATAAAACTCGTTTCGCCGGCCAATTTAAACGTCAAACGCTAACGTTCGGGTTAAATGCACTTAGCCAACACGTTGAGGTGCGTTTAAGCGAAAGCCTAGATAAGTCGAAAGGCGGCAGAGGGGAAAGAGGGTAAAGAGGGGAAAGGGGGAAAGGTGGAAAGGCCGGAGAAGTGTGCCAACGCATTGGCCGAAAACACGTTATTTGGCCAGCGACCGCATTTGGCCATAAACAACCAGCATAAACATTGCAATTTGCGTTCGATTCGCATTCGTATTCGCATTCGCATTGGCAGTTGGCCATTGGCAATTGGCAATTGGCAATTCAACGCAATTGAGAGCCGAAAAGAAAAACTGCCGCGAAAACTGCGGCGTAACCGAGATGGAAATTATAATCATTTACAATATATTGAAATTAATTGACAGTTGAATTGTCAGATCGTTTGCAGAATTGTTTATTTGCGCGTCCGTTCGCAACTCGGTGGCAGTTTACTAATGGTAATGACTGTAATTCCATCGAAACTGAAAATTGATATTGTGCCTGTCAGTGGTTGCATTATGCCAAAAGCCAACCGATGTGGCAGCCACAACTGCCCCCAAACATGGTCAACAAACGAACACGTACACGTACGAGTTTGAGTCAGATTCCGAATCTGAATCTCAATCCGAATCCGAATCCAAGTCCGAATCCCATTCCGATTCCGATTCCGAATCGAATTTGGGCCCGAATGGTGGCTGCCGCTAAGTGCGTAAGTGTTTGTTGGACGAGATGTTTTCGCCGATAGTTTTGGCGATCGGAATTCGCCTTTAATCGTCGTTGGAAAAGTGAGCGGGGTACAGGAAAAAGCAAAAAACCAAGATCCCTCATATCCCACCACTTGAAATTCTTATGAGCTAGCATTACATATTCCAATTAATGTTGCATACGAGTAAGCCACAATTTAATTAAGTTTAATTAAAGATCTGTTCTAATACATCATACTGATTTGAATTGTAAGCTGATTAATAATCGTTCCACATTATTTAATTAAATAATTGATAATCTGCTTAATAGTTGCATAAGAGTAAGCCACATTTGAATTGAGTTTAATTAATGATCTGTTCTAATACTGATTTGAATTTTAAACTGATTAATAATCCGATAACACTATTCCTTATCTTTTAAATTTAATAAATGATAATCTGCTGACTTAAACTTTTTTTTGTACTTAAAGTTTGAGGTGTCTAAAAATGTATGACTTATAGTAGTAGTTTTATTTAAGCTTCTTTTCCTTCAAACAATTTCTTACAACATATTAACATCTCAATTATTTATATTGCAGTACTTAAACCTACCTTTTTAGTATTCAACCTAAAAACAACCCACTAATTACACCCTTTTCCGCACTTGCAACTCTGTCAAGCCTATAAAATAACTAAAGTTTATTGCCCTTTGCGGGTTTATCGGCATATGGAATGGCAGCATATAGTCGGTCGAAAGTACAAGTCGCCAACAATGGGGCAAAAAGATTCCCACACACCGACGGCGGCGGGGTTCACATGCAATTTTTCCATTAAGCTGCAAACTTGAGGCGAGCTGCAAGTCGGACTTGCAACATTTGGGATCTGCCCCCGAGAGCGTGCATAATACATAAGTCCGCAAACCCTACGACTTTGCCCCCGAAAAGAAACGTGTTGATTGTCAGCCGGAGGAGTCGCCACATTTTCCCCCTAAAAACTCGACCATATCGCAACGCATTAAACTTGCAACTTACGAGTGTGTGGCAACATATATTGCCGGGTGGGTGCAACTTGCAACTAACTTTGCGACCCTAAAAACCATTAGACGTTCGCCTGGCGCTTCGATAGAAAGTTTCGCTTTGCATTCGACTGACATGCAATCTGGGTTCGTTCAACTGCGAAAATTTCAAATGCCAAATGCAAGACCCGCCGAACGTTTATCAAAATTGCAGCTTGTTTGTCCCGAATGCCTAAATAATTAGCCAGAAAGGCATTCGCAATATGCAAAGGGAAGGGCTGAGGGAGTGTTTGGATAATCGACGTTGTATGCACCTAATAAACACACTGCCAATCAATTTCTATTTAAATATTCTGTATCTAAAACTTAACAACCAATAGATTCAAAGGTGTATATATTACACAGACATTCCTTAATAGTTCATTAAGTAATTCCAATTGTAAAAGGCATTCCTTGGAATTTTTTTAATTGCATTGACCATAACTTTTAATTACCGGATGGATTAAACACTTGCAAACCCACCCACAAGAAATTGGATTACACAATTATTTATTGCACTGTACTAATACTAAGCTGTAAAAAAAAATCATTTTTTATAGCTGACAAATATGCATTTCATAAAAAACCTAATCGATAATATCATCCAAGTTTTTTAGCTCGGCTAAGTGCATTACTTGCACTATTTTCCATATTGATGGGTGTGCCCTATTTTTCTCGGGATGTTTGTTGAGATTCCACTTTCGAGATTACTGCGTTTTATGTCCATGTAAATTGAAGATAATTATTAAGCAACTGAATGGATTTAATTAGGCTTGGCCCAACAACAACCGCACTAGATTATTAATTAAGACGATCTGCCGACTGAGATGGGGAACTCACATTTAAGATTTGCCGAAGGTTAAGGCTGGATATGCATCATCGGGTATCTGACAATCGGATGAGTTGTTTATAATTGCATACACTCGAGGCTGTGTTTATTCTGGCCATACCCTTAATTTTTATTGTATTCATAGTGTTCTAGTTGATCTGAGCTTAGTCATTTTTATTGAGGTGGCATGAGTGGTCAGTTTGGTTTATGCCACTCAAAGTTGTCATTTGCCAAACCCACGCAACATAAACACAAATAAACTTTTAGTTGATGACATGAACAGATATGTGGCACGCTTTTTTTACAACATTTTTGGTAAGTTTGAGTAATGGGCGGGCCTTCAAATTAAAATTAATTTATACCTCTTTTTCGTAACGAAGAAAACGACCAAAAATGAGATAAGAGCAGCATTTCTCCATGTTTTTCCCAGACATTTTTTCTGGCTATTTATAATATTTATTTTCGCTGCATTTTTAAGGTTGAGAAAATATTTCTGCTCTCATTACGCTCGAAAGTCGTGCGTTTGAAGTAAAAATAAACACCAATGAACAGCGGAAAAATATCCAAAAAGTGCATAAATAATAATAAATCATGGACAATGAAACTGTTGTTGAATTTTCATCTCTCATTTTAAATTCAGGTATTTCAAGTGGATTTTAACTGCACAGACAATTGCTTTGATAATGCAAAAAATGATAGCAAAGTGCAGACAGATGGCCCCTGCATCTGAAAAGTCTTATCAATTGGGTCAGACCTTTAAAAACAATCGATTAAGAAAATTTTTACTTTTATAGCTGTCTCAATATTTATAAAACAAATTTACAAAACAACTATTCAAACATTTCTGTACATTTCTTTAAAGCTTTTCCTTCTTACTTTCTATTGCTTTAATATAATTTTCTCAGTCTTTCAGCAGATATACAACACTTTAATCTGACTGCATTTTCCCCCTATTTTTCTGCATAAGCGAACCCTTTTGATTTGGTTCAGCGAACTGAAGCTCGTCGCTCTTTTTGCCCATTTAAATGGGTAATCACGCCCACGCACTTAAACAACTTCTTGCCCCATAATGCCCCACCCACTTGACTTAATTAGCTGCATTTTCATGTGGAGTCAGGCGAACGGAATATAAACCCAGAACCCACCTGTATTGAAAAACATCAGCAGGGAAAATAAACCCAGCAAAAGGCAGCCTGTTGAACCGTAGGATGTCATGGTTTTATTTTTTTCTTGATGAGTTGTTTCACTTCACAAACACTGCACTTTACTATATGATTTTGAATTGAACTTCTTGTGGCTTATTATTTTCAAAAATAATACACTTTTCTGACTATTATCCGAACACGCATGCGACCCGTTGACAAAGTGACTGCGAACTGAAACCGAAGCGAACTGAAGCTGAGGACTGAGCACTGAACACTGAACACTGAGTACTGAATACTGAACACTTCGCGACAGTTGAACCAATAACAAAACGAACCCAACCCCAAACGCACACGAATCGCCATGAGAGAGATCGTTGAAGGCGGTCGGTTGAAAGGCGGGCGGTTGAAAGAGCACCGCTTTCAACCAGAAGAACAATTTTCGGTGGGCCAAGGGGGCCACTTCTGCCATTCGAACTCGGATTGGGTTGAGTGGATTCGAGTGGAGCGGAGCTGGGTCGGGTTTACGAGTTTACTGCTTCACGGAATGGCTGCACTTTTTCAATGGAGCCAGCGAACACTTGCAGTTTCGGTGGCACTTTCGACAGTAGAGCAAGATATAGAAAACTATTAAAAGTTAAATAAATAATAAATATTTGTTATTTTTTTAATATTTGTAGTACAAGATTGGATTCCTAAATTAACTGCCTTATTGATTCCCCTTTATTCATTTATACAACACTTTACTTTTATGGAGTTTAAGACATATTTATCTGTAATATCTTTATCCTAGCCCACTGTGCCTGGCAGTCGATGCGTTTTGCCACACCATTTGACGCCTAATGGCAGCCACCGTCGCCGTTTCAATCGTCATCGTCACTTTGGTTCCCCCACACTTTTCCGCTGCATTATTGACTTCGATTTAACCATCAGTGTCGCCCGTCTAATCAAGTGCAACTCTCTGATAAGGAACCGAATTCAGCTGACGGGGAATATTTATTTGTGGGGATGCATTGGCTTTCCACCGAAAATGTTGCAAGTGCTTTATGCATTTTTCAATGGCTTTCGGAAAATGTGTGTGCTTTGGGGTTGTGTCTTTTATAGCCTCTGCGGTTGTGTGAGTGCCTTTGAATTCAATAAAGTTTGTTATGCAGTTGCTTTAATCGTCAAAAACTGGATATTTTTTTACGACTTTTTTGTCGGAATCAAACAGATGAGAGATGGTAATGAAAACGTTTTATTGGATGCATTTTATTACTGAAGAAGAAAGAACTTGAAAGCTTTTCGAGGACATTAAGTTTTAATAATTGTGTTCTATAGCATTAAAGTATTTTTATAGAAGCAAATCCTTGTTTTTTCCTAGGAATATACATAATTTGATTCAACGAAAAAACTGCATCATCTATATTATTATATTTTAGTTTTTTAACGAACTGTTTTATTTTGTTTTATACAGATATAATTAAAACTAAAAATACCCTTGACTGCCGTAAATTTCATACAATTATGAAAGAAACTTTTCCAAGAGCCATTGTTGTCCAAATCCGAGACAAGTTCATTGGCCAGACAAATAATCGGTTAATCACATCTTAAAAAGCTATATATTGTACCAGGCTACCTTTAACCCCAAAAACTTTTGCTCCAACGCAAATAAGGTGACAAGACGAAAAGCCAACTAGTACTTGGGCATGAAAAATGAGTTGGGAAAGTTCATTGAACATGAAGTATGTCACTTCTATCAGGTAAATCCAATAAACTACGCCTTCTTTCTTGAACCTAAGGGATGGTAAAAGAAATTTCTATTGAGAAAGGCTGAACCAACCCCCAATCAGATTGATTGTTCTTAGTTAGTAGATACGATAGCCCCAAGAAAATTGAACAATGACGTGTGTATTCTCTCTGGGGCGCACTGATGATTAGTCAAATTTTTACCGATTTATTGATGAAATTCGTTTGTCAGGTGCAAACAAATTAGAAAATAATTGAAGCCTGCTTCCAGAAATCGATTAAAAGCAGGGGAGTTTACTAAGAACTTATGCTGGTCATTATGCTGAAAGCGATTTAGTGGCAGCAATTAAAGGAAAAATAGTAATTAATATAGAAGAAGTTCAATAATTAACTAGATGAATTGCCGGAAAGTTGTCGATCCATCAAAATTGTACTTAATCCGATCTTGTCACGTTTAAGTATTTCCGTCAGCCAAATCTTGTTTGCTCGAACAATTCTCATCTGCGTCTCAGTCGCTGAAAATGATTATGGCAAATTGCGGCTGAAAACAGTTTCGCTTGCTTGACTAAATAATAAACCTTAATTATAGGTGGGCCGACTTAGCAACTCCCGACAGAAATCGCCGTTCCGATTACTCTGTATCTGAAACAATTTACTTACAACGTCGATTACAACAGCGGAAATATATAATTGCCCAGCTTCAAAATTTTAATTTCTGGCAATTAGGAGATATCAAGAAAAATCCAGAGAAGATAAGTAAGTAATTTAGTAAGTGGAACTTAATTAATACCATTAAACATGACGAAATAAAACATCAAAAAGTTAAATTTGTTTGTGAAAGTCACAGTTGTTCGGAAAGCCTTTATTCCATGCTGTACCTAAAAAAATGGTACGAGATAAAAATATAAAAGTCTAAATTAAATAAATATAACATATACTAAATATACTAATATATATATTAATATATACTAAATATAAACACTTTTAATTATAAACCAGCTCTAACGTTGATACCCTTTTAAGTGGCTTGGCAATTTTTTAGTCGATACATCAACCTTACGATAAAATGATCGTAAATTTGAGGGAATTTTGTAAGATACCCTGGATCAAAACCTTTTAGCCACTACCAAAACCAGATCTCCATGGAAACAAAAATGCTACACTTAAATAAAATCTCCCTGACAACCAAACTAATTGGCCAAAACAAAGAAAATTATTTTTGGTTTTCTATGTGAAGCGGATAGACGAAATGAAACTCCGGACGAGGTTTTGCAAGAAAAGCTCCATAAAAAACTCAGATGCTCCAGACCAAGAAAGCCAAAAAACCACAAATTATCCACTGAGTTGCGTGGATTGGAGCAGCAATGAGGAGATATATTTTGTGAGGTAAAAGATCCCTATATTTAGGGTTTAAATGAACCTGAAATATTTATTTATATTATTTTCTGCAGCGATGACCATCAGATCTTCAAGTGGAGCGATGTGAGTAGAGACTCGGTGGAGGTGGCCAAACTGCCAGATGACTTTGTGCCCACGGATCTCCACTGGCTTTTGCTGGGCGGCAGGAGCAGTGGTGGTGGCAAGGGCAGTGACACCCTGCTAATTTGCAGCAATGATGGCAGATTCGTTATTCTGAACAAAAGTGCTCGGGTGGAGCGGAGCATTTCTGCCCATGGAGCTGCCATAAGTTCTGGTCGCTGGAGTCCCGATGGCGCAGGACTTCTCACCGCCGGCGAGGATGGAGTTATTAAGATTTGGTCGAGATCTGGAATGCTGAGATCCACAGTGGTTCAGAATGAGGAGGCTATTCGTTGCGCTCGGTGGGCTCCCAATTCCACCTCGATTGTATTTTGCCAAGGTGGACATATCTCAATCAAACCCCTTGCTGCCAATAGCAAACTTATCAGGGTAAGTTAATTAAAGAAAGTTGTTTATTGAATTCTAAATCAATTTAAAATTTTTTTAATATTTTAGTGGCGTGCTCATGATGGCATAGTGCTTTCCCTCAGTTGGTCCACTCAATCCAATGTCATAGCCTCTGGAGGAGAGGACTTTCGCTACAAGATCTGGGATGCACAGGGAGCTAATCTGTTCACCAGTTCTGCAGAAGAGTACGCCATCACAAGTGTGGCTTTTAATCCCGAAAAGGATTACTTACTGGTGGGCACATTCAATCTGCTTAAGTTGTGCCACAGCAATGGGGTGAGTCCCTTTTAAATGATTGGTTTTATCTCACTAAATATCTAAATATCTTAATAAATTTATTTCCTAGTGGTCATATAACAGCGCTCGTTTCAACAGTCCAAGTGTGGGCTCCTTCTTCAGCCTTTCTTGGTCGGCTGATGGCACTCAAGTGGCATGTGGCACCTCGACGGGGCAATTGATTGTGGCCTATGCCATAGAACAGCAGCTTATTTCGAGAAACCTTAAGGCCACGACTAAAACGCGCAAGTCGATTGCCTTAAAGGACATTGCCACTGGCTCTCAGGATGTCCTGGACTTTCCACAGCGGATTGTCAACTTCGCTTTGGGCTATGGGCATTTGGTGGTGGCCACCACACATCAAGTCCACATTTATAATGAAAAGTACATAAATACGCCGATTATAATCGATGGAAGAAATGATACGAGGGTTATTGAAGTGGGAAAGAAGTGAGTTATACTTGAAATTAAATGTTTATATAATATTTATTTGTCATCTTTTAACTCCTCCTTCCTTTTTAGATACTTTATGATCTTGGATGCCTCATCGATTTGGGTGTACACTTACACTGGGCGCTTGCATCTGAATCCTAGGTATCCTGGTTCCCAAGCACAGATTCCCCTGCTCACTTGGCGTTCGCTTTCTCTGGGCCTCGATGTCCTTGCAATAAGGGACAATTCCGATCCGACTTTGCTCCACCTTTTTGATTTAATTCCGGGTGCTTCAAGGCAATACGATCCCCATTCACTGAAAGCCAAGCAACCAATGGCTGAGATTGCAGCCTGTCGTGCGGGAACTCAAGAAGATCAGTTTGTGGCCTTCATCGACTCCAATCGTGAGTTATTCGTAAGTGAAACCCGCAATCTGAGTGGCGAACGCACGGATGAGATATTCAAAATTGGCACCCAACTCACTGCAATCATGTGGGCCAGTGAGACAAATATTTTGGTTGGAGTGCACGACTCCTGCTACAGCATTTGGTATTGTCCCGGTGAAGGAGCAGCAGATCCTACTATCATTGCCTTGACTACAATTACTTTGGATACCACGTAAGTTACTTAAAAGGGAAGCTCTTTAAACCTAAAGATTTATCATTAACTAAACTCCAGGGAATTTGGCAAGCATGTTTCCATCGAGAGTTTCGAGGATGCGGTGGTTACATTTCGTAGTGCAGGTGCACTTCTCCCAGTGAATGTCAACATGTACTGCGAGATTCTTCATCGAGCTCTTCTCGAGGGTCAATGGCAACAGGCCCTGAAGATCTGCAGGATGGGTCAACATTCCAGTTTGTGGGCCACTTTGGCAGCTGTGGCCACCAGGAAACACCAGTTGCAGATCAGCGAGGAGGCTTACTCGGCAGCTTTACAAATCGACAAAGTCAGCTACTTGCAACATCTGAAAACCTTGACTCCTTCGAGTGCCGAGCAAATGGCCGAGAATTCACTGATGATGGGAAGAATGCTGGAGGCGGAAACAATACTTCTGCACGGCAAGAAAATCGAGCAGGCTGTGGGTTTATCACTTCGAATGCATAATTGGCGAAGAGCCCTGGAAATCGCCCAGAAACATAAGTTGGAGGAACCGGGTTTAATGCCACGGGTTCTTCAGGAAAGAAGTAAATATTTAAAGGCATTGCAAAGGGAGGAATGGGATCCACTGTACCTTCCCCATGTTGTAAAGACGGAGGCAGATAGCCCAAGTGACTGAAAAGAGTTTTCTAATAAAGTTATCATTAAATTTCATACAAATTACGATTTTTCAAAAGGCAGAAACATAAACTAAGTTTATTATTGGAATACATTTTCAGTATGCAGGTGACAGCATAGGTTCGCCAGCCAATCCTTTGAGGATATTCTTGGACGCCAAAGTGGCAGCATCGATACGGGTTCTCCGGGTTGCATAACCCACATGTGGAGTGACCACTGTAAGGCAACAAAAAAGTAAAAATCAGCTAAGTGCTTCATGATAATGGGACTTAGAAGATAAGACCTGAAGTGTCAGGGGTTGTCAAAAAAATTAAAAGACTGGTATGGGTTTTTCTTTAACCTTTGCAAAAAAAAAAAAAATATACTTACCAACATTATCCAAAGCTAATAATTTATCTGTGGATCGAAGAGGCTCAGGATCCATAACATCTAATCCAGCTGCAAAGATTCGGTTGGATTTCAAAGCATCATAAAGGTCATCCTGGTTGACAATTTCTGGGAGAAATAAATCAAAAGTAATCTTGAAAAACACATTATATTCTATACTTACTGCCTCTACCAACATTGACTAGCACAGCTGTTTTCTTCATTTTGTTGAAGACGGTTGCATTGAACAATCCCTGGGTTTCTTTGGTCAATGGAGATGCAATGACTAAGAAGTCACTTTCAGCCAAAAGGGTATCGAAATCCACCTTCGTGGCATTTAACTGTTTCTCGATATCCTCCGATACACGATTCCTAGTGGTGTAGAGAACCCTATCGATTTCGAAACCCAACAAGCGCTTAGCTACTGCCTGACCAATGCCTCCAAAACCGTAAAATCCCACTGTTGAATCTCGAATATCCTGACCCAGCATCCAGTCTAAATGGTCGTTATCCCAGTTGTCGCTGCAAAGGAAAGAAATTTAATGTTAATAAATAATAAAATATTTAAATTATATAATATAAAATATTATAATTTACCTATCGATCTTCCTTCGACCCTCTTGGAATCTCCGAGCAGCAGCGATTAGTAAACCCACTGCCAAATCGGCAACCGCAACTGTTAACATCGCAGGAGTGCTTCCCAAAGGAATTCCCCTCTTTTTCAGTTCCGGGACATCCACGTTATTTATTCCCGAGGACATTGTGGATACCGCTTTGAATTGCGGACCAGCGGCATCCAAAACCTCGGCATTTAGGATATCCCTACCTCCCCAAATAGCTGCATGAACTCCTTTGATCTTCTCGAGAATTTCAATTCGATTGTTTGGTGGTTCACTTTTCACTTGAAGGATCTCGCATTTCTCCTTCAGTATTTCAATGCCCTCTGGCGGAACATCGGTATGTGCGATCAGCACTTTAAATGGCTTGTTTGACGACATTTTTAGGTGCTTCAGCGAAAAAAGATAATATTTGGTGGTTAAAATAATTACACTTGAAAGATAATCACTGCATTGAAATTACCAAAATGTTCTCTTATCAGAAAAATAATGAAGAGCTTACAGCAATTTGTTCTCTTAACTCTCCTCGGAACTCTTAAACTGCTCAAATTATCTTTTCGCACAATAGTTTTCAGTTTCAGGTTTGTTTAGCGACTGACAAACTATTGGAATAGCTACCTGTTTTTATAGAGAATAAAATATGGCCAATGCTTATCACCTGAAAAGCTGACAACAAAAAAAGTGAAAAGCTATTTATGTAAACTTTCTATGAAAATATGTTTTATTAGTAGGTAATAACAAAAACTGCAATCTCAAATTCATTTTAAATGAAAAAGAAAATCGTTTTATTTTGAGTTTGGGTTGCCTTTTTTTTACTTTTTTCAATAAGCTGGCCTAATCATGGGCTTTCCGTCCATGGCATTCAAGATATTATTGGCTGCCAGCAAACTCATCTCAATGGTCGTTTTCATGGTCTGAGTGCCCAAGTGGGGAAGTATGACTACAGGATAAATTAGGTATTGTATATCGGGAATAAGTACAGATACGATAATATATATCTCACCGCAGTTTGGCAGTTTTAGGAGAGGATTATCGGCGGGCAGAGGTTCTGGAGTCGTGACATCCAAGCCAGCGGCAAAAATCTTTCCAGAAGTTAAGGCATCATACAAATCGGGTTGATTGACAAGACCTTTAAAACATTGTACCATTGTAATTCTTCAATCTAATAGGTATTTTAAGGATCCTACCTCCTCTAGCAACATTAACAAATACCGAAGACTTCTTCATCAGCTCGAAGGCCTTGCCATTAAACTTCTCTCTCGTTTCATTGGTAAGTGGAGCAGCTACCACCAGGAAATCACTTTCCTTTAGAAGATTTTCAAAAGACACATGTTCTGCTTTGAAGTCCCCATCGTTTTCCTTTCGGGTGCGAGTATGATAGATGATCTTGGCCACATCCCAGCATTGTAAACGCTTTGCAATGGCCTGACTGATGCCACCAAAACCAAAGAAACCAATGACTGAATCGCGAATCTCCTGGCCCATCATCCAGTTGATCTGCTCGGTTTTCCATTGGGATCTGATAGAAATTTTTAATATTTTAAGGATCAGAATTATAATTTACAGATAGTAAAAATTCTTATTTATGTGAATTAAAAAGAATTGATTGAAGTAAGTTTAAAACTTATTAAGAACCCTAACAAATTGGAGATTCTCTTAGCAAGGGTATTTAACTTATGGTTGACAACCCTTATCCGAAAAGCTCCCTCATATTAAAAGCTCCAAGAGGCCCCAATCAGCTGTTCTCACCTCTCAATTTTATTCCGACCAGCGTGAAAATGACGCCCTGCTGAAATCATTAGGCCTATGGCGAGATCGGCCACCGAGTTTTTCACAACTCCGGGAGTGTGTCCCAAGGGAATTTTCCTCTTCTGAAACTCGGGTATATCCACGTAGTCGATTCCCGAGGACATGGTGCTCACGCAACGAAGCTGCGAGCCGGCAGCATCCAGGATTCCGGCATTCAGGGGCTGATAATGGGCCCAATAGATGGCATCTACTCCAGGCACCTTCTTCAGGATCTCCTCCCTCGAGGGCGGCACTCTCTGGCAGATGATGGTCTCCGCTCCACGAGATCGCAGCAGTTCCAAGGCAGGAGTTGGTACATTTGGATGCGAAACGAGCACTTTGAAGGCACTTGCGGCACGAGACATTTCGGAGGAAAATAAAGGACTCAGACTCAACTATCAGCAGCTGATTGCAACGTCAAACTGTTTTTTGGAATTTTCCCCACCGAAAACAAATCTTGAGCTTTTCAATTTTGTCACTCTCTTAGTTTCAGAATTCGCTCTCAAGCTTTTTGTTTTAAGAGAGTAAATGTCATGCAAATTTTGTTAGCTCCCATTTGTTGTTATGATACTCTTTCAAGAGGTATTTCAATTTAGAAAAGCTTTGAGTTGCAAAATTATACAAACTTTATGGTAATTGATAGTATTACATTAAGAAGATTAAGCGGTATAATAATCTTCACTTTGGTTTCAGGAAAACGAACCAATTCTAATATATATACTATAATTACGCCATTTCATTCAATTGATTAGATAGTTCCCCTCAAACACCAAGCCATTCAATTAGTTCATTTTCCACCCCTGAAATCACTCATTAACCATATTTAAATTAAGCACTTTGCACTAGCCACACTTGTTTTTTCAATTATAATTTTATTTTCACATCACAAGCATGCCAAGGCCAATGACGGCCTTTCACACTCAGTTGGTCAGAACTTCCCACACTGGATTACGATAAAAGGCCAGTTTCCATTTGAATTTCCTAGTAGGCGGGCGACAACATGGGCTCCCCAGCCAGACCACGGAGCACATTGTGCGCCGCAATGGTGGACATATCGGCACGGGTGCGCTTCGTGGCGGATCCAATGTGGGGCAGGACAACTGAAAGTTAGGGGAAAGCAGCAGCTGATTAGTTTGAGTCAAGATAAGTCCAAGCCAGATAAGCAGTTGTATTAAATCATCAACAAAATGGAACATTTAAGGTCATGGAGGTCCAAAAAAATATGATAAAATACAAAAAGAAGGAGCCTATTTTTGGTAACCTTCAAGAAACCTTAATAAAAATCTTTAGACATTGTCAACTACTAAGCAGATAAGGCGAAATCTCAATATTGATAAGACGAGTATTTCCTAGGTGGGGGCTCAGCAAAAAAGTACAACTGATATCAATAAGCCGAAATTATTTTGATTGCTCCACTCACCGGCATTGTCGAGTGTCAGAAGTTTGTCCTTGGGCGACAAAGGTTCCGGATCCGTGACGTCCAGACCGGCGGAGAAGATTCGGTTCGACTTGAGAGCCTCATAGAGGTCATCCTGGTTCACAATTTCTGGGGATTTAAAATAGGATCTTTTATAGTAGTCTATCGAAAAACCCTTTCGAGTTACTTTAAACTTACTGCCGCGAGCAATGTTGATGAGCACAGCGGTCTCCTTCATTTTGTTGAAGGCGGTGGCATTGAACACGCCCTGCGTGTCCTTCGTCAAGGGGGAGGCGATGACAATGAAGTCACTTTCGGCCAAAAGGGTGTCGAAGTCGACCTTCTTGGCATTGAACTCCTCCTCGATTTCCTTGTGCACACGCCGGCGGGTGGTGTAGAGGACCTTGTCAATGTCGAAGCCGGAAAGGCGCTTGGCAATGGCCTGGCCAATGCCTCCAAAGCCGTAGAATCCCACCGTTGAGTCACGGATGTCCTGGCCGAGCAGCCAGTTGAGGTGGTAGTTCTCCCACTGGTCACTGAAAAAAAAAAAGGTGTATATAGAAATTATTTTTCCAAAGTTTAACCTCCATATGATTTAATTAAAAAATCTAGATTTAAACAAAGTTTCCTTTGAACTATATATCAAAATCAAAATCAACTCACTTGTCGATCTTCTTGCGTCCCTCGTGGAATCGGCGACTGGCGGCGATGAGGAGACCCACCGCCAAATCGGCAACGGCGGTGTTGAGAACGGTGGGCGTGTGTCCCAGTGGGATCTTGCGCCTCTTGACCTCCGGAACATCGACATAATCGATGCCCGCCGACATGGTGGAGATGGACTTCAGCTGGGGACCGGCGGCATCCAGGGCCTCAGCATTCAAGGGCTCGTGGCCGCCCCAGAGGACGCCATCCACTCCGCGGATCTTCTCCAGCAGCTCGGCCCTGTTGATGGGAACGCTCTGCACCTGGATGACCTCGCAGTTCTGCTTCAGCAGATCCACGCCCTCCTGGGGAACCTCGGGATGGGTCACCAGGACCTTGAAAGCCTTGCCAGCGGACATGGTGCGGTTTTGATTCTGATTCCTGCGCGGAAGGGAGGCATTACTATCGGCGATGGCCAAGGCCACAATAATTGGCAGCAGAAGCTGGGCCATCGATCTCATCTTAAGGCGTTGCGATCGAAGTCGGGTTTCGCGAGCGACTGAGTCGAAAAGCGGCATACGCACCCAGCTTTAAAGAGCGACGAGGACGGAAAGCCGCTGCTGCGACTGCTGCGACCCACGATCGCCGCCGATAAACCAATGAACCTGTTTAGCATTATAATCCGAGTTCTCTATGTGTATATGTGGGTATTCTTAAGCCTTCGACCAGCTGTTAGCCAACTGAGTTCTCTTATACGTATAAGACGCGCAGCAGGTTTCAGATTTTAATGGTAAGGGGGAGGGGAAAAGATATTGGAGTTCTTTTTATAAAGAAGGGAGTCAAATTAAAAGCACAAGTTATTTCAGGAAAAAACTAATTTCAGATTTAAATTAACTTTAATGTAAGAAAAACTTCATGCTCATTTATTTTATGAATTAATAGTACTTTACTCTTGAAATATCTTGGGTCAGATTAAAATTTACAGACAATTAGTTCTGTGAAAAGTCGATTATAATAATAGGGAAACTTTTTACTGTTAATTCGAATATTTCCTAACTTATTATCAGCTAGGTGTACTACAAAAACCCGCCCAAAGTCAAAGGGTTATATGGTCACTATCTGAACACTTGAGGCCCCCCAAGATTTATGGCGAAATTCCGAAAGCAATACTTTGAAGATATGTTGGCTTCTAATCATTTCTACACGACTCATTTAACACTTGACAATTTGATGCTCTTTACGCATTGTTTATGGGGGGAATGGAAAAAACCCACACAGAAATTTTGATATTAATTGCAATTGTTGTTCAATGTCACAGAAGAACAAACTATCACTCTTTAAAACGCTCTTAATTAAAGAGATTTACAGCGGTCAAAAGAGAATCAATGTATATTTTGTAATATATTTTTGCACTATAATAATTAATCTTTACCACCAAACTCGCGCGGTGAGAAAAACAAACTAAAACGTTTTGCGAGGAATCGCGAAATTAAAGCTTTTGTCAGGTACTCGCGATCGGTTCTCTTATTATATTTTCTCTTTTTTCCTCTTACCGTGAGATCTATAGAACTAGAATACTTTTCAGCTTTGCGTTTGCCGCACGACTAAATAAATGGAACCCGAAGCTTAAGCCTTTTATAGAGGCCATCATATCTCAAAAAAATTATCAGTTCATTAAAAAAAGTTAAATAGCGACCATATTTGTTGTTAATAATTTTGGGGCCATTAGGTACGTCATAACAAATCAGAAAAATCAGTTGCTTTTCTTTAGAGAAAATATATACAATAAAACATCTTTAAATCGTGGTTAATGTACCTACTGAACAGTAGTATTTTAAATTACTAATATTGGGGCCAACTTAATCGGAATGTTATCAGCCGCACGATCGGCGACTCTCTTCTGATTAGGACCGGCATTTGCCATCCCTTTCATTCGTTGCACACTGCGCTCTGCCTCCACCTCTCAGTCCGTCTCTTTCCAGCTGCTTATCTCGTTGAGCTGTGTCATTGCTTCTTATCGGTGCGACTGAGACGGAAGCGAAACTCTTTCAGGGAGTGAGCAGTTTGGAAAGCTGCGCGCCTGCTCGAAATACCAGTTGGGGACTTTTCCCATGTGCTCGCATGCAATTTCCAATTGGAATGGGCCCCACCGCAGCTGGAGCCACTGGAGCCGTGGAGCCATTTGTCCGTTTAGCCATCCAGCCGGGGAGCACTTAAAACGGTTGGAACGTTGTGGAACCTACGACCAGCACTATTTCGCAGTTTAGTACGTTTTTTTGTGAGCGGATCTGCTCACATTTTGTCCGCAGAGCAGCAGGCGCTCAGCGTTGGCCAACACACTCACATACTTATACTTCGCCGCGGTCCCCCATATTCTGTTTGGGTCTTTATTTCGTCTGTGTGAAAGCAGCGACAAGAACCGTTCGCGTTGGCGTTAGCCTCGCCATCAGTTGTGCGCAGCTAGCATTTTTTAATACCAGCAGAAAACAAACTTTTTAATTAAAGAGCACTATCAAGAGCCATGAGCCAATACAAATCCTTTTACTTTTGTTTTTAATCTGTATTAAGAATGATTTTTTTTACTATGTATACAGTATCAAAGTTAATAAGCCTGCACTGCGTATACGCAATCAATTGATGGAATGCTAAATATACTATTCGTATTAAGTATACGGCAAACACAAAATATTGCATACTTTTCATTCGCCCACCCAATTTTATAATATTTGGCTTAAATTAACTTAGCTATTTTCAGCTGTCAACACTTGTGGTCGCTGCGTTTTGGTGGTTTGTTGCACTGGAAGTGTTTACTTTACCTATTCCTTTAGAGATTGCGCCCAGACACTGCACTTAGCCTAATTGAAAACGAAACGGAAAATCCCAACCAAGTTTTTAGCGCTTCGTGCGAGGGTGGTTTTTTTTTGTTGTCGTGACGCGGCGTCGTGTGTGTTTGTTTTTTTTTTGGTTCGCCCCCACTACACTTTATTTTCTTCATGCTTTGTTCTTTTGTTCGTGGTGATTTTCTTGTGCGCTCCAGCGGCAGAGCAGCGTCGCATATTGTCTGCTTTTCTCGTTTTTATGCTTTCCTGTTACCAAAACACGATGCGTCATTTTGACTGACGTAACCGGGAGACAAAATTCGAATTGGAGACAGCTGTCTATCAGTCGCGACCGTCGTCGTCGTCGTTGTTATCGTTATCGTTTGTTCGTTGTTGTTGTGCTCGTTTTTGTTGCCCCACCGGACGTCGTCGTCGGCGGGGCGTTGTCATTTACCGTTACGTCTGCTGCCGCCGGCATTGCCAGCGCTAAACTGCGGTTTGGGGAACAAGCTATCAGCAAATAATGACAGTACCCAGCCGCCAAAAGAGAGCGTACGCCGCAGAAAAAGATAGAAAGGGGGAAAGAAGAGAGAAGGGGGAGAGAGAAAGGCGAAGGAGTAACGGTGAAAAAGTAAGCTGCGGGAGCTGCCTCAAGTGGGCACCGCTCTCGATCTGCAGCATTTGTTTAACCCCCTAAGCATACATACTATATTGTTAAAAGCTTCCCTGTACCGTTAAATGGGGTATTACTTACCACTATTTTAAGATTTTAAACATCTCTTACATAAGTTGTATGTATATACTGTGGCATACTTTTGGACATCTTCAAATGTCTTTTGAAAACCCTAAAATTAAAGTATACATAAACAAATTAAAAAAAATAAATTTTTTCTTTGTACCCCTTTATATAAAAAAGCGAGCTTTTCCCCCTACATTTGAGCGGGTTAAAGTCAAATGTCAAGGGCAAGTTGCAGACACCTCTTAGCAGCATCCGAAAACATCTCCATACTGCTTTCATCGTATTCTGCTTGCTTCATATTTGGCGACCGAGCGACAAAGCTGCAAAGCGAAGCGCCGCACTCCGCGCAGGCGCCTTTAGACCGCCCAACTCCACCATCGAAGAAAGAAAGGGGGGAGGGCACGACGACAACAAAAAAAGTGGCCGAGCGTCACCGATTTTTATAGTGTAGGCTCCCTAAAATTAACGCGCAACATTGAGGCAGGTCCCTCTACGCGATATAACAGAACAGGCGACCAGACTTCCAAAGCAAGAGGTGAGCTACGCGACAAAGAGAGAGCAGCCCCAAAGCAGTCGAAGAGTGCTTGACATTGTAGTGGTGAGCCCCAAGTATAAAACGGTGCCTACATGTACGTCACAGAGCTAAATGGCGTGCATGAGAGCGGGAGAGGGAGCTTCGCTGAGCTCCACTGCGAGAGAGAGGGAAAGAGCTTCACTGTTTGAGGGGAATACCGGGGTAGAGTTGGAGAGCGTGGGAGTTGAGCAATTTTAGATGTGCAGTAATGTATCGATACAGTAAAAATAAAAATATTACACCCAAAAATAAGTTTACATACAACTTTTTGATAAGCAAAGAAATTCATGGAATGTGCATTGCACCAAAACATTTTCATAGTTTATATTGAATTTACTGCTTACCTGCAATTCTTTAGGCTTTACAATTATGTATTATAGCACATGTATGGAAATGCAAGTGTTTGGTTTTCGCTGCTTCGGCGGTTGGCGAATTTGGAACACATATAGGGTCATGGAAAGGGGAAAAGGGAAATGGGGCATGCACAGGTCAAATTAAAAAGGACTTTTTTTTAGTACATAAAATATTCCATTGCTTTTAGAGCCCCGATTTCTTCGAAGGGTAGGAAAAACGAACAACCTTTTTTTTAAGAGAAACAGAAATTTGGAACATCTATTAAAAACTTTTTAAAACTGTAGTATTTTATTTTGTTGAAACACAAAAAAAAACCCGTCGGCATTGCAGAACGCGTGCATTAAATAAGCAAATCCTAATAACTATAATTATATAATTATATATATATAACTCGCAATTAGCTTTTCGATTTCAACTATAAAAGGTCGAAACGATCCTCTTTCTGCTTAGAAAAATGTTTACAATTCTGTGGATTCTAATTGTGGGCCTGACCAAAATTCGGGCCGCGGACTACATATTGCTGATTGAGGATTCTGATTTTTATACTCCGTGCACCGAAGGACCTCCAGGATCAATTGGCATGAACGAAGCCTACGATGTGAGCGAACTGGTAGTGGATATGGACGAGGAAGGACTTCACGTTTCTGGGAACATTACAACCCTCTGGGATTTCCCACGCACCGATCGAATTTCCGTAATCCATTTGTAATTCTAAAACAAGCTGGTTTTAAATGAATTTTATTTTTAGGCCAGGCTAAATGTGCTACGCTTCAATCGCGGCAGCTGGGAACCGACATTATATTCCGTTCATACGCCAGATTTTTGCGCCGTTATGTTCGACCCAAATCTATTCTGGTACAACTGTTGGTTTAAAAACTTAGCAAATCGCGAGGAAATACAAGAGAAGTGCATCGCAACGAAGGGTGTAAGTATGCTTATTTTCATCCTGACACATAATATGTGGTTCCGAAACTGTTTTCAGACCGTTATGCAGTATAATTCGTTTATTGTCACGCCCAGGCTGAATAATGTGATGGTGGGGCCTACTATCAAGAGACGCTTCAAATTGGTATTTACTTTCGAAGCATTTGACGAAAATAACCAACGGCGACCGACATCCGTGTGTTTCGAGCTGACAGGCGAAGCCGAGAAAGTAAGGACGTAATCTTATTTAGTCTGCGAAATGTCCTAAATAAATTTCAATTTATATTGAAAAAGGTATTTGGAAGTCTAGATAATTAGTTAGGCTCGTCATAATTTTCTGCTTACTTTACTGTTTCCTGGTGTTGTAGCTCTGTTAAAGTGATGTTAACATTGACTGACGTCACTCACGTCATAAATTACATCTCTCTGTTGGCAAGTTTTTGTTGTTGCAGAATTCACCGTTGCTCACAGCACATGTTGACTATGGGAATGCAAGTGGCTTCCTTCGGCAGTTGGATAATTCGGAAGGAGGAAAAGAAAATGAGGCATGCATGGGACATCTATAAAGGACTGCGGGGTAGAGTTAGAGAGCGTGGGAGTTGAGCAATTTTAGATGTGCAATAATGTATCGATACAGTAAAAATAAAAATATTACACCCAAAAATAAGTTTACATACAACTTTTTGATTAGCAAAGAAATTCATGGAATGTGCATTGCACCAAAACATTTTCATAGTTTATATTGAATTTACTGCTTACCTGGAATTCTTTAGGCTTTAAAAGTATGTATTATAGCACATGTATGGATATGCAAGTGTTTGGTTTTCTCTGCTTCGGCGGTTGGCGAATTTGGAACACATATAGGGTCATGGAAAGGGGAAGAGGGAAATGGGGCATGCACAGGTCACATTAAAATGGACTGTTTTTTTTTAGTACATAAAATATTCCATTGCTTTTAGAGTCCCGTTTTCTTTCGAAGGGTAGGAAAAACGAACAACCTTTTTTTTTAAAGAGAAACAGAAATTTGGAACATCTATTAAAAACTTTTTAAAACTGTAGTATTTTATTTTGTTGAAACAAAAAAAAAAACCCGTCGGCATTGCAGAACGCGTGCATTAAATAAGCAAATCCTAATAACTATAATTATATAATCATATAATATAATTATATATATACAACTCGCAATTAGCTTTTCGATTTCAACTATAAAAGGTCGAAACGATCCTCTTTTTACTTAGAACAATGTTTACAATTCTGTGGATTATAATTGTGGGCTTGACCAAAATTCGGGCCGCAGACTACATCTTGTTGGTTGAGGATTCTGATCTTTATACTCCGTGCGCCGAGGGACCTCCAGGATCAATTGGCCTGAACGAAGCCTACGATGTGAGCGAACTGGTAGTGGATATGGACGAGGAAGGACTTCACGTTTCTGGCAACATTACTGCCCTCTTGGATTTCCCACGCACCGATCGAATTTCCGTAATCCACTTGTAATTCTAAAACAAGCTGGTTTTAAATGAATTTTATTTTTAGGCCAGGCTAAATGTGCTACGCTTCAATCGCGGCACCTGGGAACCGACATTATTTAGCCTTTATACGCGAGATTTTTGCGCCGTTATGTTCGACCCAAATATATTCTGGTTTAAGTACTGGTTCAAAAACTTTGCAAATCGCGAGGAAATACAAGAGAAGTGCATCGCAACGAAGGGTGTAAGTATGCTTATTTCATCCTGACCCATAATATGTGGCTCCGAAACTCTTTTCAGACCGTTATGCAGTATAATTCGTTTATTGTCACGCCCAGGCTGAATAATGTAATGGGGCCTAATCTCAAAGGACGCTACAAATTGGTATTTACGTTCGAAGCATTTGACAAAAATAACCAACGGCGACCGACATCCGTGTGTTTCGAGGTGACAGGCGAAGCCGAGAAAGTAAGGACGTAATCTTATTTAGTCTGCGAAATGTCCTAAATAAATTTCAATTTATATTGAAAAAGGTATTTGGAAGTCTAGATAATTAGTTAGGCTCGTCATAATTTTCTGCTTACTTTACTGTTTCCTGGTGTTGTAGCTCTGTTAAAGTGATGTTAACATTGACTGCCGTTGCTCACAGCACATGTTGACTATGGGAATGCCAGTGGTTTCCTTCGGCAGTTGGATAATTTGGAAGGAGGAAGGAGGAAAAGGAAATGAGGCATGCATGGGACATCTATAAAGGACTGGTTTTCTTTGAGTTCATAATAAAATATTCTTTTGATAGTAGGAAAGATGACCCATTTTTTGACAAGAAAACCAGAAATTTGGTAAAACTCTTTACATGCCTAATTTTTAAGAAAAAAATTAGGCTTTTTACATACTGCCCAATTCAAGCTTTTACTAAATGCCTTTTAAGCCCTACAAACATTTAACTTTGAAAACCGACTACACTGAAAAAAGTATTCACTGACGGTCACTGGCCAAGGTTCCCTTCTACATCCGGTTCCGGTTGGGAGTCTTGCGACTCTTCCAACGCTTCCGTTTCAGCTTGAACTGCGTTCTCGGAGCGTTGAATCATTTCCAAGAGCAACTCCAGTTGTGAATCCAGATATTCGAAATTGTTGCTCAAACCTTCGTCAGTCAGATCATCCACCTCTTTCCGAATGCTGTCGATCAGAGCCTCGAAGCCAGTAAATATTTCGCTTTGGTAGAACAATCCGGAAAGTTCAGGAAAAGTGGGCTTGGGAATGGCTCTGGTCACGGCAAGCCATTTGGCAGCCGGCCCCGTAGGTTCCTTGACCAGACGAGCTGCTACCCGAGCTACATTCTTTTTAGGCTGAACCTTCATCAGATATAATAAGCAATACTTTTTTTTAGATACCTACACTCATTTTATCCACTTCCAAACAGCCATTGATCTTCCCATCTTCCCTTGTTTGCGCCATGGTAATATTGATACTCTAGAATTTTATCACTTCAAATCTTAAGAAAAACTCCCAATATAAAAATATTTAGTAAAACTGTCTATCTGTTACGTTGAGTTGTTCACGACTACACTGGCTTTTAATTGGAAACCGAATGTTAACAAAATCTGTCAGAAAGTCAGGGCTAGTCTGATTTTAAAACTAATATTCGGGAATGCAGATCGCCTGCGTGCATTCAATAAATAGATCTAAATATGTGTATACATATGTGGTTAAATGAGCATGCAATAGGTATATTGCGATGACAACCTGGATAAAACACAAAGTAACGTTAACTCGCGTTAGTTGTTACATTCCGCTTTTAGATTTCACCTATAAAAGGCCGAAACTCTCCTCTTTCTGCTTAGAACAATGTTTACAATTCTGGGAATTCTCATTCTGTGTGTGACCAAAATTTGGGCCACGGACTACGTCTTGCGGGTTGAGGATTCTGATGTTTATACTCCGTGCACCGAAGGACCTCCAGGATCAATTAGCATAAACGAAGCCTTCGACGTGAGCGAAATGGTAGTGGATATGGACGAGGAAGGACTTCACGTTTCTGGGAACATAACAACCCTCTGGGATTTCCCTCGCACCGATCGAATTTCCGTAATCCATTTTTAATCATTCTAAAGGAAGCTGTTTCCAAATGAAATCCATTCTTAGGTCAGGGTATATGTTCTATACTTCAATCGCGGCACCTGGGAACCGACACTATTTAGCACTTATACGCCAGATTTTTGCGCCGTTATGTTCGACCCAAATATATTCTGGTTTAAGTACTGGTTCAAAAACTTTATCAATCAGGATGAAATACAAGAGATGTGCCTTACGACGAAGGGTGTACGTATGCTTATTTTTATCCTGACACATAATGTGTTCTTAAAACTCCTTTCAGACCGTTATGCGGTATAATTCGTTTCTTGTGGAGCCCAGGATAAACAATGTGTTGGGACCACCTCTCAAAGGACGCTACAAAGTGGTATTTACTATCGAGTTATTTGATGAAAATAACCAACGGCGACCGACATCCGTGTGCTTCGAGGTGACAGGCGAAGCCGAGAAAGTAAGGATGTAATCTTTTTCACTCTGCGGGTCTCCAAAATAAGCGAACTTTACATTACCTCTCTTTTGTAAAATTATAGAATGTATTAAATATATATTTTCATTTCCATTTCTCTCTTCTACGTCACATATTTTAATGACACATTGTAATAGTTTGAATCAGTTGCAAAAATATATTAACTTCACGTGTCTGTAAATTAGATTAGCTAGGTATCTTAATAACTTGAAACTAGAAACTACAAAATAAATTTAACTGAAATATTAACGCACATAGTTGCACGAATACCATAGAAATACTGAATAAAGCGGGAATCCGGGAAAATTTCGATATGAGGCAAGGAATCCGGCAATTTCAATCGTTCTACAAAGTTTGGTCTTCATTTTAGGTCTGATTTCCGTATGAAATACCATAATTTGGATCTAATTTTTGGATCTTTATTTTTGATATTTTTATGATGTACCCCTTACCAAAATTTCAGAATAACTTATTTTGAAAGAAATGGCCAAAAACTTTCATAGTTGTTGTCCGATTTTAATGCGGCATACCTTTAATTGATTGTGTATTGCCCTCTAAAAATCTGCATTAAAGTTTGGCTTACAACTTTGGGTTGAATGTTAACTTTTTATGGATTGTCTCGGATTCCTCGTTGTCTACTTTTTGGCGCATGTGAAAATTAATCATTCAAAATACAAACTAAAACAAATGTGCAGATCAGTTTGTGTACGTAATAATTAGTAAAGATCATCTTCCTGCGTGCAAACAGAACTTGTAATGACTTCTCGGATTATGTACGGTGTAATGTTAATTCGTAATTAGATCTAATTAGCACCACCTGCTTTTGGTTGCTATATAAGGTCGGATCACCGATCTGTTGGCAGACGAAAATGTTTCGAGCTCTGCTGATTCTTGTGGTGGGCGTGACCACCATCTGGGCGATAAACTACGATGTGCTGATCGAGGATCCGGATATCTATTTGCCGTGCACCGAAAGTCCACCCGGTTCCATTAGCATCCACGACCTTTTCGATTTGAGGAACCTCACATTGGAGCTGGAGGAAGATGGCATTCATGTTTCCGGGAGTGCCACCGTCAAATGGGATTTGCCGGCCACCGATCGGATATCCGTAGGTTATCTTCTTCTTCTTCTAAAGGGAAAATAGGTGACTCCAATTGATTTGGTATAATCAGGCCAGTTTCAGTGTAATGCAATACAACCGCGGCACCTGGGAACCTACGGTATTCAACGTCAATTCTCCGGATTTTTGTAAAGCTATCTTCGAGAAAGATGAGTATTGGTACAAATATTGGTTTAAGAATCTTCGTAACACAGAGGAAATTCGAGAGAAGTGCATAAAAAAAAAGGGTGTAAGTATAATCATTTCTGCACAGACTTTCACCCTATAGGTAATTTGAAATTTCAGACTCTTCTGCTTTTTGATCCGTTTGTTATGGAACTGCAACTGAACCAGGTTACAGGTCCCAACTTAAGGGGCCGCTATAAAGCCGTGATCACCTTTGATGCCTTCGACGAATATAATGTACGACGTAACACCTCAGTGTGTTTTGAGATCAGAGGCGACCTTCAGAAGACGAGCTAAACACATTCCGAACTCTGAACTACATTACCCATATTTTGTTACCCTACGTTATCTTAATCGTTCAAAAATATATTATATTCAAACATATTAACTTATGCTGCAAAAATAAAAATAGAACTGTTTTTTTGTAATCCTGTTACTAATAGAATTAAAGGGTTTAAGATCACATTAAAAACGGGCTAATAGTCTGTGGTTATTAAACAGATTTTTAGGTGATACATTTGATTGTGAACAGTGTTCGGTTTAAATCAAGAAAACTGTTATGAAATCCAGATAAAATGGTAGTAAAGCACCCACAATCTATAACGTTAGATTTAAAACATTAACCGGTTGCTTAATAATCAGAATACAAACAACATTTCCCACTGTCAACATTAAAGCCGGAATCACTAACATCACACACAATACAGCACTAAAAATACGGGAAAAACATGGAAAAAGCACGCTTCAAGATTGGTGGTTCGAAGACCTCCAGCTCTGGTCAGGAAAAGCAAGGCGAAAAGAAGAAGTATACGCTGGCGGAGTACAAGCGGAAGATCAACAGTCTCTTTCCATTGCCACCGAGGCCGGCGGACATGTGCCACGATGCGTTTGTGAAGCAGCTCCTGGAGCCCTACGTCCTGGAGACCAAGAAGGAAGTGCACACGGTGAAGATGTCCAGCCTGGGCAGCACCGAGTCCACGGAGGACACGTACGAGGCGCTCCGGGCGAAGATGTACAAGACGGACTACTCGGCGAGGGCCAGTTGTTGGATGGCCAGGGGCACGGCCTACAGTGCGTTAGCCGTCAAATCGGCATTAAGTCCCGCACAACGCGATTCGGCGGCACTGACCACCCAGATGTACAAGGTGCGCTTCGCCAATCTGATCTCCGACTTCCGGAACGTGTGCATCATCTACCAGCTGCTGCAACTGCAGGAGATCCTCAACGTGATGCGGGAATACCCGCCGGCGGGCACCAATCCCAATGAAACCATTTTCAGTTGGTCGTACAAGGAGAACCTGAAGCGCTTCGACAAGCAAACGAACACCGTTTATGTGGACATTCTGGAGAAGAATAAAACCGAAGCCACCCTGGATGATCTCAAGTTCTATGTGGATCTGGGGGAGCTAATTAATCTGGTGCAGGCCCTCTTGGATGACGTAATCAACGATAGAGATCTTTGTGCTCCACAAGGCTTTATGGAACTCCTCAAGTAAGACAACCTATTCTTTTAAACTTTTTTTAGATTATTGATAAGAAATCTGTTATATATTCTTTAGAGACACCCAAGTGGACATTGACAAACTGATTGCAACACCCTACGAAACAATAATGGCCGAACACGACTCTCTGGTTGATGAAAATTCCAAGAAGAATCGTGTTGGGAAATTCCACAATCCCAAATTGGTTGCCAAGCAACATGCTCTTAACAAGGAGCGGTTTCAGATAGACTGTAAGACTTGGAAACCTTAAGTAGTCATTTTTTAAAGTTTTTTTTTTTTTTTTAAACAGACATGAGCCCCATAGAAACTCGTTACAGAGTAAATTGGGTCCACGACAATGTGGAGCAGGGACAGTATATTGATTTCCTTCGCTGCAAGGTTTGTCCACCTATCATTCACTTATTTGTAGATCATCTCTAATTTAATTTTCCTAAAGGTTCTTTCCGATGAGTTGGAAAAACTAGAGGATCTGACCGTCAAGGATTCGCTTGTGTGGAGAAGCTGTCACCTGGAGTATGTGACCCTAATCGATGAGTACAAGAGTCGCATAAATGCACTGCAGCAGGCTTATGACGAAGACATGGAAGTGGCCGAGAATATGGTGCAGGTCACCCTAAATAGGGTGGCCAAGTGCAAAGAAGACCTGAGGACGTATAAGGAAAAAGTGGAGATGTTCCGCGTCAAAATCCAAGATGTGCGTGATAAAATAGCAAAGCAAGAGGAATTGGAACGTGCTCGCTTGTCAGCTGTAAGTCTACAAAAACAAAAAAAAAAAAAAACAAATATCTGGTAATATAATATCCTGTTAATCAGGCACGACCCTCGAAGAGAATGTCCAGGATATTGGCAAGGCAGAAGGAAGAGAAAAAGGCCGCAGAAAAGCAAGCCAAATTGGATAAGAAGCTGGCGAAGAAAGCAGCAAAAGCAGCGGAAAAAGCAGAAAGAGAAGCAGAAAAAGCAGCAGAAAAGGCAGCAGAAAAAGATATGGAACTATAACCATTATTTCCAAGAAATTGAATACAACCAATCCTTACTTTGAAAATACAATAATATTTATACAATATAATTTTGTTTTTATAACTTTTTGCCTACAATAAAATTTATTAATTCCAGAAACTAAATTTGTATATAGATATATGTTGTATATAGTTCTGTAATCTGTTTAAATTTCTTTGCTTGACATAAAATAGTTGTTCTATATAGATCAAATATCTTTCGCCCAAGTTCTGTCTGTCTCTCTGTCTTACTTTCTAACACATTGCCCTGTTTACAGCATTATCGGTCTCACTAATTTATAAGAAATACATATACATAACTCTACACTAGATACATTATATTCCGTTTTGTTGTTTGTTGTTGGTTTTGGAAGAAAAATGGGTCCATTTAGAAACTAAAACTTTATACACTTGGTTTATACACACAACGAAATTGGCGCCAGAAGACAGTAACTTAGATTATCAACTAGGACTAAACTAACGAACTAAACAAGTAAATGGCTTATAGTCTAGGAGTACACTTTAATTAGAATAAACAACTCGTTTTGCATAATATCAAAATGAAAACCGCTCGCAAAGTTAACACATAAAAAACACATGGTTTCCTTACACACAATTTGGTTAGGTGTCTGTTACTAAAACTAAACATTAATTAATCGAAGCTGAGGATTAGGATGCGTTAGGATGGGTATCCGAGTGGGCTGCTCCTTAATTGTTGGCGTGCGCCGTGCGCAGCTTGGCCCTCACGTTCAGATACTCGGGATTCACGTACTGCCGCTCCTCGGCGTCCTCCTGATCCTGTTTCTGGGCCGCCGCCTCGTGCTTCTGCGCCCGCTCCATGATCACCCGGCCGAGCTCTCCTTTCAGTCCCGGAATTCCGCCCGTGATTTCCGCATCCGGTGAGTGTTGCTCGGCGGCGGCGTGTCGCTCTTTCTGCTTGTCGTAGGCACGTTGCAGCTCCGATTTCTGGTTCAGCACGCTCTTGCCCCTAAAATAAAATACAAATTAAGTTGGATAATAGAACACTATAATGATAATTCAATATTTATGAGTCTATAATCAAGATATGATCAATCATAGAAGAGGTAAATATTAAAATATCTAACAACTTACACTCTGGCATTGAACTTGAGCTCCCGATGCAACTCCTTGCGATCAAAGTTCTCCATGCAGGGATTGATGAGCTTCTTGGGCAGGATGAGCCCGTCGGAGTCCGTCTGGACGCCAGTGGGCGTGGCCGGCGGGGAGCTGCTCATGGACATCATCGTTCCGGCCGCGTTCTCAGCCTCCGCCAGACTGTGCCTGAATTCCGTATCTGAAAGATTGATGCAGAGAGTTCAGTGATTAGTGAATGGATTCACATTCATTGCCACTAGCCAACTACACAAGAATAAATTTTATATATATTTTTTTAAATTTTATTTATATGGTTTTCAAGTCACCAAAGATCAAGAAGAAACTGAGTTGAAATTGTTTCAAATTGCTTTTTATATTATCCCATTTATATGGCCTATCCTCCTCGTAAAACCTGAGATAAAATTAAAACAAATATTTTTATCGGTGTACTTCTGGTCGATGTCCCCTCTTGCGACTGTGCCAAAGTTTAATTGGCACTTGGCCTTCCCCTCACAAATCAGTTCGGACCTTAACCAACCAACAATGCACACAACAACCGCTCGAGAATCCAAGAGAACCAAACAAAAGACGTCCAAAGCCTCGTCGTCTTCGCCGTTTATTAAGGTTAAATATTTCTCCCCATTCATGTCATTGTCAATTTGTTATTACAAAAAACAAAAAAGCAAAAAATGGCCTGCAAGCAACAACAGCTGTAAAACCGTAAAAAAAAATTATGAGAGGCAGAGGAACAGAAACTCGATTCAAGTCAGCGGTAAAGTTCTTCAGTTCTTCAGAGTTTATTCTTCTTGTTCTGGTTGTGCTGTTCTTTTCGTACATTTTTTTTTAGTGAACCGTCACCAGCGTTGAACTTCTTTTGTTCACCCATCGTATTAACCCACATCGCAGCGAACTAGTTAGTCGCTAGAAGCCCAAAACCTAAACTAGATTAATAGGCGATGATAAGGGACAGAGTGAAAATGAATAAAAAGAAATAGCGCTTGCAAAGGGCAATGACTTGGCTGAAATGGCTTCGCAGTCGAGATGAAAATCGCAACGAGTTCAGTGGGCACAATTTTTAGCTGAATTTGCTGATTGCTGCACCGGGGAACTGTGCCAAAAAACCCCCTCGAAAATGGAACTTAATTGTATAAATATGTGAAAACTTATGCAAATAAGAACATCTTAAGATGGTTGTCATGCTAACAAGTTTGGGCCAAAGCCAATAATTAAACAGTGTAGTTAAATTTAACGCCTGACTATCAAAAACCAAATGTGGACATTAAATTTATTTACTGGTTAAAATTGAAGTGAATCTTGTTAAGAGTTCACTTTAGTGTAAAAGAAAGTGCAGTCAAAAAAATTAAGTGAACATGCAAAAAATTAACTCGCATTAACAAACCAATAACTTTACTTACAAATCATTCGAACAACACAACATTAATTGGAAAACTAGTTCACACGAGTCTCAACTTTTCTTCGGAGGGTTAACCAAACTTAATTGGCATCTCCGCTTGGAGTTCGCGTTCGACAATCAATCAATTAATTTCATGAGAGTTATTTCAGACAATTCCACTAAATTATGGTGGATTCAATGGCAAACATCCAAGATTTCTACAACAAAACACAAAATCTCTTGTTTGCCGACTCTAATGGCCATGAAACCATCGGTCTTCACACCGAAAACCTTTAACATTTTGAGGCCCTCGGGCAAACTATGACGAAATCAGCTTTATCAGCGACTGCATTATGCTAATCAAGGTGTCCCATATGTGGCCCAATCGGAAATCGCATGCAAATCCGTTTTGATTGATTTTTCTTCGTTTTCAAATGGAAATTTGTATTCGCCGACTCTGCGCTCATAATTTGCATTTACATTTAGTGCGATGTCTGGTTCGGGAAATTCTGATAGTTTCGCTTGGTTTGACCCAATGCAAAAAAAGGGGACGAGGTGTAGAGGTTTTTAATACCCTTTAAAAAAGGAATATCTTTCTCCATTAGCTTGTTCAGAGTTTTGAAAAACAAGTGGGAAGTAACAACACTGTAATAGGAATTTGAAATATAAACTGAAGTTACTTTAAAAGTATTTTCAAATATTTACTTGATTTTTTTCAATTTCCTTCCTAATTAGAGTACTCAAACAGAGGAAGGGTATTCCCATCAATTTCAGAGAGGGGTTTCACTTCACTTACAATGTCCATCGTCGTACAACAAGTTTTCATTTGCGCAATCGAGTTGTTCGACTCGCCAGACCCCCTCCTCCCTAACTTAACCCCTTGACGCCCCACACTTGGCTAGAAAACTGTGCGCGACTCGCTTCCATGTGGGTTAATGAGTTGCACATGTGCTGTGGGGTTCGGGTGTGAAATTAACGCAAATGAAATAAACGGCGGGGACTCTCCATAAGGAACCCCTTCGGTCAACCCACTCCACCCAGGCTAATTATATGCAATTTGTTTTCACCGAATGACCGAAGGCGACCCACTCTTGGCCACATAAATCAAGACAACATTGGAGTGCATTGTGTAGACAATTTATGATACGGCATAGGGCTCTGAGTTATTATCAAGTGCGGTCGCCGAACGAAAGTTTTCTTTGAAGACAGCCTAGCCAGCCAGCTAGTTAACCGGGTTAGGGGACCAACAAGCCATGACAGCACAGTTAAAGCCAAACCATTGTCACGGAGGGCTAACTGGCTCAAACCGAGCGATATTTATCGCGAAGGGCAGGGGCAATTTTCTGGGTCCCAAGTCGCCGGTTTTCAAATTGAAAAGACCCGGAAACAGGGTTATAACTATGCCTATTTAAATTTGTATAAGCCTCATTATTAAAGTAAAAACTAGTTTAAGATTTTGTAAGACAAAACCACTGACAAATAACACAAATATCCTTTAAAGAGTTAAGATATCAGGGCCATAAGCCTTTTAGCCACACTTTCCAAATATGTTATTGTCTCAGAAAATCGCCATCAATTTCACTCAGAAATTCCTTAGCATTTTTCAAGCCCATTTCCACATAAACCACAGACCTTTGAGCTTCTTTCAGCCTTATCAGCCAAGTGTGATGGCATGTCTTTTCCGAATTTTCTACACTTTTACCCCGCGTTCAGTGGTAGTACTTAATCATTTTACACCATCGCCGAAAGCCAAGTCGGTGGAAAAACCAAAACAAAAAGAAGTAGCCACGATTTCACTCATTTGGGAGGAGTGTGGTGTACCTCTTTTGTCGGCCCACAAGAATGGCTTGAATACGGCGATGAATAAATGAACGAATGTGTGAATGTATAAGCGAATGAATTATTCACGCAGCAGACTCGTCTTTTGACTCACTTTCAAAGATGGACATGCGGTTCATGATGTTACTGGAGATGTTCGACGAGGGCCGCTGCATTTTGGTTACAATTTTTGGTTTTTTTTTTTCTCTTTTTTTTTTGTGAACTTAAATTTTGGCTGAGCTGTGTTACTACTACAAATTTTTTTTTGTTTATAGGACACTACAATCACGTGTTACTGCGTTTAATATGCTTTTTTGAACAGCTGAGGTGTTGCGGGTGGTTAAACTGCTGCAGCTGGTGGCTCTAATTGTGGCTCACATCTTATTAGTACATGCACTTTCACTTTCCCCGACGTTCTTATCAACGCAACAAACGGCTAAAAACTGCGAGTCGAGAAGGAAAATGTTGGTAACCGGACCCCTGCAATCGATTGCTGCTGCTGCTGCTGCTGATGTTGCTGCTTTTGCTGTTGCTGTTGCTGTTGCTTTTGCTGTTGCTGCTGCTGCTACTGCTGCAACTTTGTGCAGTGCAACGCCAACACGTAACGCGTTCGGCTCGCTATTTTAGGCTTCCTCATTTGCAGCAGCTAACCAAACACGGCAGGGTTGAAAAACGGGGTTGGGCTGGGGTTTTGGGGCTGTAATGCTGTTTTTTCTTTCCACGCCGCCCGACTGGCTTATGCAAGCCCAACAAACGACCAAACAACAGCTGACCCAGATATGCATTTCAGCCACGAACAGAACGGAATACTCAGAGCGTTAGAACGAAACGTAGCCAGCGGCGAGCCAAAGCCAAAAACGGATTAAATCCTTCGAAAAGTGAAAGCTCTTTGTTCTCAATCAAAAACCCCAACCCCAAAATGACATCTCAAGCTCGGATGAGCCTTCTATTATTAAATTTGATCTAACAGCTCAACAAGTCGAATATTTAAACACTCTGACTCTCAGAAAAAAACAACTAAAGTTAAAATACTAATATAAATATCTATTGTGTTGCGGTTTAAATTTATTCACAATATAATTTAATAAAAGAATGCAAACAAATAGAATAGCGTAGTCTATTGATTTTTATTTAAACAAAAGAAAATATTTTACATATTCCGCTAGCTTTTGGCAAGAAAGGGTATTTACATTTCACGTTCTATAGCATTGATTTATGACACCTCCTTTTTTTAGCGCATCATGTCAGCTGGCATAAGGATGTTGCATGTTGGCTGTGGCATTTGGCAGTGGCAGCTGGGGGCGGCAGCCTTGACCCGACGCTGCCGCCCCTCTGCATAAAGGACACACGTGTGCAGGATAACAAAGCCCCCTGAAAAGGCGTGGAGCGGATAGAGGGGAGAAGCAGCCTCCTAACGGTGGAAGCTTTTCCGGAAGCTCTCGTTCTCTATCTTTCTCTTTCTATTTGTGTATCGGGGATTTTGTAGGAGCATCGCAGCAGCCTCCTCCTGGGGAAGAATGTGGAAAATCGACAGCCGACGGCGAGTGTTTTCCAGCTTCCGTTTCCTGGCCGCCTGGTGCTAATTGGCTCCATGGAGAAAATGGCCGCTCCACACACAACACAAACAAAGCAGCGGCCCCACAACATCTTCAGCGCCATTTCCCGGCGTTTTCCACCCCTTCGTAAGATGGAAGTCTAAGACGTGAACCAACTTCTTGGTTGGCGGACAAGCAAGAAAAAAGCCAAAAGAAGGATCTCTAGCAGGGGAAGTTGCAGCCACTCCAGTATTTCTCCAGACGCCAAAAAAAGGGGAGGTCGTACTGGTGGGTGGGCTTTTCAGTGGGTGGGGCGGTGGTGGAACCAAAGGGGCGGAACAGGGAGCCCGCCATTGAGCAACTCTAACTCAAATACTCCGCCTCAAATCAACCGGCGAGCAGCAAAAGGCACAAGCTGGATGCCAGACAGGAGCAACAGGAGTCGCCAAACGG